TCTCCACATGTTCTCACATGAGAACATAAGAGATATCGCTCCAGTAGACCTTGACCATGCCCAGGTGAAACATGTGAGATGGGAAGTGAGCATGAGTAACCGAAGGCAGCATCTTCAGCTTTGCCCAGCCTGCTAACAAAGCCATGAGCTCCTTAAGCCCCCTCTTGCTAATTCCTGGGCTTCCCAGCTCATGCTGTCTTTCCAGTGCTTGTGCTTGCATGCTGCTATGGTGCCAGGCTCCATGCAGTGTTTGGTGGATAACAAAGGGCAGAGTTGGCCAGGAAACAAGAATGCAGCGAACATTTGTTTTTGTTTCACAGTGAGACGGAACGGAGATTTTTACTTGCAATGATGGAGGAAGGGGAGGGAGGAATATAGGAAACATCCACTCTGTGAAACTCAGCAAAGACACTCTTCTGGGGATGCCAGAGACCAATGGGTGAACATCAGTCTTGAACTGGGTAGTCCTGAATCTGTCATTTTCTGCTGGAGAGGAAGTATTTGTGAAAGAAACAAGAGCTGGAGCAAATGGGGAGATTCTGTGTTGCCAGACCTAGGTGGGGATAAAACTTAATTCTGGTAGCAAGTCTCTAAATCTGCTCTTGAGGAGCAAGCGAAAGCTCAGTGAAGGGCACTCATGTGGCCAGCAGGAGCCACAAATGGGGAGCACCACCAAGCTCTACACTAAGCCTTGATCCCAGAGAAGCAGCAAGAACAGCAGGGAATAGGCCATGGGATAAATTCCCGGTCCTACCCAGCATCCCAAGAGAAGGAATGGCACTGAAAGAGCGGCAGACAGGCTGAAGAGGACCGAGTAGAACAGAATCAGTGTGGAAGATGCCAGGAGCCACCTCTTTGGGACATAAGTAGCTCTGGCCCCATTACAAATACACTCGTGAGGCAAGCAGAGGTTCTCCCGGTGGAAGCTTCYAGGAGGTTCAGACTGGGAGTGAAGGATGGAGATGGGATGTAGGACTTCAGCAGCAGGGTTGGCCACAGGGAAAGGGAACTACGGGCAAAGATCTGGTTGCCCAGGGCTGGCAACCCCCATGCCCTGCGGCTTGCCGCGTGTGCGTGGCGTGGTGGCATTCTGCTGTCTCTGGTTCCAGGCAGCTGCGACGGCGCCTTCCCCGTTCCAGCAGCGTGAGCAGCTGCTCTCGTGTTTAACAAGCAAACAGCCCAGGGTTTTAACAGGTGAGTTACCAGCAGCGAGCAGCTCTCCTAGACAAGCCAGACATCCCCCGAGCAGCTACTGCTGAAAGCGACTGGAAAAGAAACTGTTGGGCTCCTGCGCAGAGGAGAGTGTTGTCTGGGATGCCAGGTAACTGCTGTTGCCCTGGGAAAGCGGGACGCAGCCCTGAGGCACGCGYCCAGCTCCAGGCATGCCAGGCCAGCCCTGGAAACCTGGCCGAGTTTGGATCCRTTGTGGCAGTGCTTCGCTAGGATCCCTGGCAACATCCCTCAGCAGTAACTGCCCTCCGTGCATGCACACCCCAGGCTACAACTCTCCCTTATGGAATTCAGCATAGTGAAGTGCAGTTATCCCACGTCATATAACTGCCCCGTTCCTCACAGCACATTCCCCAACAGCATTTTCCTTCCTCCAGCAGTGCACTCCCTAAAAGCTCCATCCATGAAGCCCTTCCCAGGGCTGCAGCGCAGCTTACAGCAGTGCAGCTTCACCCACACCCTTTCATTCCCCCATTCCTCTAGTTCCTCCATGAATGTCTAGTTCTCAACTCCCCGGCTTTTTGACCAAGAGCTCAGTCCCTCTTGTTGTGTTCCACTTTTGTGGATCTGGAGGCAGTTTCCATACTTGTGCTGCTTGGGAGCTCCTGTACATAGCAATGGGAATGCCACTGTCACTGCCACCACTCTATTCCTCCCCAYAGGGAGTTTAGCCATGTCCTCCAGGAACGCTGAGCCAGAAGGAGAGGAAGAGATRGTGAAGGCCAGCAAAGACTGTGGGGAGTTTGGAGAAAAGGTAGAATGAGCAGGAAGGAAAGCTGGGAGATCCTAGGGAGATGCTGTTACCCTCCTGAAGRCTGTCCTCACTCCGCACGGGGTTCTTGTCAACCTTGCCATTACAGCCTGGACAGACAAGAGTCCTGCTGTGCTCAGCTATGCTGGAAAAGTGGTTCACATCATTGTGCTCATCATTGTGAGCATCATTGTGTGTTTGTGGTCTCGTGAGCTGCATCTTGGATGCCTTCTACTGGTCCAGCCACAGGTGTTCTAGGCTTACAAGACTCATTCCTCCTGTGGACTCACGCAGACCTCATGGGAGGCTGCAGTACCAGGTCCCCCAGCCCATATCTGCTCACTTCCCACCTCTGTCCCCTCACTCCCCTCTCTGGGACAGGACAGGGGAGTGGGATGAACAGACTCTGTGCCYGAGGCCTCCAGACTGGATGCCCTTCTCTTGCAGTGTCTGTGGCAGGGCACTGTGAGTGGCGGGGCTGGTGGTGGGAACGCTGGGGACATGGTGAAGCAGGTTTGCTGCTGTTGCCAGAGCTGGTTAAACATTGTCTCAGGCCTGTTAGGTAACACAAACCGCAGCAAGAATGAAATGAAACTGCTTGAGCAAACAAGGTGTGCTTGGCAGGGCGGCCGGCTGCGTGACAAAGTGCTCTTCTCCCTCTGCCAATATGCCAGGGTTATCTATTGACTGAGAATAAACACCTCGCCCACAAAGCCAAACTCCCAGGGACAGCAGCACAGATGACACAGACGGCTTCTGGAGACCCGGCTTGGCCCTGGGCTTGCCTTGCTCCCACTGTGCCCTCCTCAGACACTTCCAAGTCCCAGCATGGCCCCTGCCTTCACAGGTAGGTGTATGGGCAGCCCAAGCATCCCAGCATGGGCCCTACTGACACTCAGTACAACTTGCTTCTAATAGGTCATGGAGGCCGGGGATGGACCTGGAGCAACATCTGTTTGCTGGAGCCAAGAGATTCCGACTGGGAAAAGCCATTCCCGGGGGAAGGTGATGCAAGTTATCTGACAAGGGGCTGGCTGCAGACCAGACCACACTCAGTCCCGGTTCAGACCAGGGACTGGGACCTCTTCTTGCACCACAAGGCAGCCTTGATGCCCTCACCTCGGCCGTGKGTGTGTGACCCATATAACTCCACCCCAGAATACTAGAATGTATTTTTTTTTCATTGATAGGGCTTTGGGTGACCACAGATCTCCTCTCCTGAACTGTCTTGCTGAATGGTTAAGGTGGATTTCTAGCATGGCAGGAGACTAGGCCRCCCAACTGAGACAGCAAGGCAGTTCCTCACGCAGATAAGAGGTGAAGCTATCGCAAAGAGGCTGGGCTGGTCCCTGGGCACCTCCTTGCAACAGCAAGTCAGCTCAGCTCTTGCCATCCTGTGTCCTGCATTTGTTGCCTTGTGGGTGCTTGAAGCCACCGCAGTTTCAGTGCCCTGATCAGAAGATCCTTCAGCTGCCACTGATGTCTTCAGCTGCCAGGTTGGCAGCTGATCCTTCAGCTTCCAACCTGCCACCAGGTTGCATTGCCTATAGGAGGATTCTTTTTCCCTTTGGATACTAGCAGTCTGATTATTATGGTGGATCCCAGACTGTGCCCTGCAAAGCTCTGATCATGGCCATCAGGAATTTGGGAGGAGAAAGGGAAATTTGGTGCAGAGTCTCAAATCCCCCCATCCATACCTTCCTACTTACACAAGTGTGAAGTGGAGGCCTGGACTTCTCCAGGCAGCACAGTGGCTCAGCCATGGGGCTCTTCTAGCCTTCCAGCAACTCCCTCAAGCTTTGTCTTGGGAAACTGGGAGCAGTGTCAGCTCCCGGAGCCAGCCAGTACAGATGGGCCACATGACACCTTGCTTTGAAGGTCTCAGCTTTCTTTTGTAAACAGTCAGCCTCTTTCAGGCACAGAATGAATCATTTTTAGCAGTGCCACATCTCCTGCAGCAAGAGGTACAATATACCCTGCGGTCAGGGTGCAATATCTGGGTGCCCCTGCCAAAAACGCACCTCTGAATCTTTGCAAAATGTTCTCCCTGCTCAGGGAAGACCACCAAGACACTCTTACCTCCTTGCTGGTGGTGTGGCTCTGTTCTGTACTCACTCCAGGCAATAACCTTGCTCAAGGATGTGTCTTTGGGTGTATCATTGCTTTTACTTGAGCATCCCAGACCCAGTTCAGCCCCAAGCACAGAGGGAGGATTCCAGGGTCTTGTTGAGGGTGAATAGGAGCTGGGCTACCTCAGCCTCTTTCCCTGCCTCCCTATGACTGCGCTCGCAGGGCAAGGCTGGTATCGGCACTGAGCAAGGACAGGCAAACAAGCAAAATGACATACAAGAAGTTACAAAATAAACAAACGAACAAGTAAGAATTTATTCCTTTATGATCCTAAATCAAAAGGAGGAAACCACATGCACCTGCTGGGTGCCTGCCTGGGCTAGCGTCCCCATCCAGTGGCTGGCACAGATCCAGTCTGTGCCCCCGTGCCATTGCTTCAGTCCAGCTGAGCATCACCACCTTCCATAAGAGACGTGTGCCCTACAACACACATGGTCACACGGGAACATCTTAATTAATGAAAAAAAATAGATATGTACATTCATTCTGTGCCTTTCTTTATCTTACATAAATTAGAAGCTACTTGTGGGAAAAAAAAAAGGGCCTGTTTCCAGATACAAGTGTCCAGGCTGGAAATTCAGACAGGCCCTGTTTGGAGTTCTCTCTCCTTCTGTGGGTTTTCCATTGGACGAGACTATGTGTTGTCTCTGTCTGCTCTTGGCTGATGCTGTGGTGAAAAACTGCTGCACAGAGGGGCATCACTCATCCCATATGGAGRAACCAGGGCAGCAAGCACCAGGTCATGAGCAGCAACGGGGGAGGACACTTCAGAAAGGCTTCACAGCTGGGATGAGTCCTGTCTGGTCACAGTGGTGCTTGTCCCTCTGCCCGGGCAGGAGGTGGGTGCCAGCAGGATACCGGCTGGATTCTCTCCTTCGTGCCATCTGTCACCCAGATTTCTTTTCCCCTTTGTCTTTATCCAGGCTTTGACACAGCCAAAGTCACAGAAACTCTAGATGGTGATATAAATCCAACGAGGGAAATAATGGTTTACAATAACCTACTRGAGCCAAAATATTAGCTTTAAATATCTCAGTGCTGGCAGTCACCAGCGTGCACATCTGTGCCCACACAAGGGGGCTGGAGTCTCACACGCTGCGTAGGGCAGCAGCTTCCAGATCCAACCGTAGGCAAAGTTTCATGGCAAGGAGCCAGGTTCAAGGCAGGTCCTGGGGGGTTTGCCAGGACCTTTCATCCAGGATCTTTACAGTTCTTTGTTCCTGTTCAATACCTCCTCCTCTTTCCAGCCACTGGAGTTCTTCCCGAATTTGTAGACCAGCCGTCGCCCATCAACTCTTTCCAAGATCTCCCGTTTGTAGTAATACCTGGAGAGGATAGAGGTGGAATCAGGGCTCTGGATGCAGCATCATGTGCTGCAGGGGACAAGGACTGAACTCTAGTGGATCTGACCCAGCCCCATGGGCAAGGTACCCCTGGGAAGTAAGGGAGGGCACTCACCGCATGGCTCGGCTCAGCTTCTCGTAGGTCATGCTGCTATTCTTCTTCTTCTGGCCCCAGAGCTGAGCCACTGCCTCTGAGCGCAGAAACTTGAAGACACCTTCCCGACGGTCCTCCCACTTCATCAGCCCTTCGTTCAGCTCAGGGTGGATCAGAATGTCCCGGATAAACTCCCACAGATGGGTACCTCTTGGGGCTGCAGGACAACAGGGTGTTTGATTAGGGGGAAGCTCTTGGTTTCCCTTTACATTGGATCCCCCCTGAGCCCCCCACCAAGGAGCATGGTCAATGGACACCATCTTTCCTCCCACCTTCCCACCCATGGAGTCAGGCACTTCCCAGCTCCTGGCTAGGGTCCACGTACAGTGCTTGCTTTTCCGGCTCTCCAGACAGTCTCTGCTTTCTTTGCTGAGTTTTCTGGGTCGTCCTCGTTTCCGCTTACCATGTTTGGTGTCTCCTTTCTTGCCACCTGCAAAGCTGTCTGAGCACACAGAGAAGAGGATGCATTATATTCAGAGCCTCCAAGATTGCAGCTCACACCTCCCTAGGCAGAGATATTCTAATCTCTTTCTTTGGGAACAAAAGCACAGGGAAGAGATAGTGGTGGAGAGGATCGGGGGGTGAACCCACTTTGCAAGCCCAGCTACCAGAAAACCAGCTTCTGGAGAGAAGGGTCCTCATTATCTCCAGCCACCATTCCCTTCCCCACCAGGGAAGATGACTCTACATCCATAGGGCAGCATGTTGTTTTCCCCTGAAGACCTTGCTGCTCCCTTGCATCCCCCCGAAAGAGGTCTAAGACACATAGAAGGCCAATCTTCTCCCCTTTCCCTGTGTGGCGATAGCTCAGAAGATGTTTTCTCTAAACCAGTGTCAGAGCAATAGTACCCTTGCACTGGCCCTCACAATTCCCACCTGGCCCTTGCAGCCAGAAAGCTGGAAACAGCCAGGAACAAGCTTTCATTTCTGAGCTCCTATGTGGGAAGMGAACAACTCACCATCAGGAAAGAGCTTTGCTTCTGCAGAGTCGAAGTCAAGGTCAAGGTCACTTCCACCGGAGTCCTGGGAATTGGGGCTGTGAGACATCATAGGCCCTGGAGGTAAAAAGACAGGGCTCAAATCACCAGCAGTTTACACTTGAAGATTCCTTCCCGTGGATTTTGCTCCTCATTTTCACATCAGGCCCCTGTAGCACAGTGTCTCTGCAAGGTCTAGACCTGTGCTGGGGCAGGATCCCATCATCCTCCCAGCTTGATGGGATTTTGCAGCCTAGACAGTAGGCTGAACACTGACCTGAGGTATCCGAGCTGTCTGGAGACATGGCACCAGGCAAGCAGGTGAAGTCTGTGGAGAGGAAAGGGCTTGGGAACTTCATGTCCTCCAGGGAGTCCTTGGCACCGGGATTTCCCAGCTCTGGAAGGGACAGAGGGGAAGGGTTAGCCCTGCCGACAACATCTGGCTCCTGAGGACGAAGCCTGGTCAAGGCACTGCTCTTACCCAGGTGGGTGGTATCCAGGAATGTCTCTTGGGAAGTCGCATCCTCTTTTTCCAGCAAGTCAATGATCCAGTTAAGCTCGTCAGAGGCTGCAGAAAGGGAGAGCTTGGGATGAGCGATGCAGAGGGCAACGGCACACGCAGGGACTTGAGCCCAGGTCAAGGATCCTGGCTAAAGGCAGTGTCCCCGTTCCCCAGTGCCATCATGTCCACCTCCCCTCCAGGTAGCCTCCCCACAGAACAGACCTCTGCACTGCCCAGGTGAGCAAGGGGATCTCGGGGCTACAAGGGAGCTCTCAGTCTCATGCTCAGAGCCCAGCAGCCCAAAGACAGAGGGAATACTGGGGCCACTCACTAATCTCATGCAGGCGGTCATAGAGTTCATCCCCCAGGGGCCCAAAGATGAGGCGCATCTGGTCCCTTGTGCAGTGGCACAGCGTGTGCCCATCCATGTTGCAGCAGGAGAAGTCGATGGAGCTCGCGTCGTACTTGTTCTTCTCCACGTGGTAGCTGATCCACTCTAGCACTTGCACCTTGGTCCAGAAGTACGGGAGCTCACTGAACCACTCCGGCTTTTCTGCAAGGGATGAAGAGTGGGATTCAGGAACAGGGAGGTGTCACCAAGGCAGGGTGCCATGGGCTGCCTGGGTGGGGACAATCCCCGTGATGATCATCTAGGGCACAGCAGACCCTATACTTAGCACTCTATGGGGCTGACACGTGCCTGACATTTCCTGCAGAATTGCCAGTCACACATACTSTGCTCCATAGATGTTCTGGGTAACAGTGATGACCTGATGTCCTCCCCACCGTCAGGTTTAGGCGTTGTTTGCCCCATCCGTGCTGGGGTCTGCCCTACTCTGCTGGCTGTGTGGCTCTTTCCAGGCTCCCCACACCTCCCCTGGAGCTATCCTGCAATGGTCCCACCTGCAGAGTGGGATTGTAAGCACCAGGACCCTCCTTCCAAACTGCTCCTAAGCTCTCATGTGACCCTCACAGTCTGCATCTTGGGGATGTGCTGGAGCGGGTGAGAGGGATAGCAATGATTCCCTCTTCTCCCATGCGGCCAGGGCACTCTGAACTTTGTGCCATCTTGGACTCCTCTGGCAAGCTTCCAGCCAACACACCCCTGGGGAAACTGAGGCATGGAACAAGTCATTGACTTGCCCCAGCAGGACCAGGATCTCTTCCAAGCCACCAGAACTGCCTGATTTCTATCCTGCGTGCTGGGTCCCCTGTAGAGCCCACCRCTGCTTGCCCCTTACCTGCGCTCTCTGCCGAAGGCTGGCTGGTGGGGACACTCAACCCCAGAGTGCTGTCATTCCCATGCTGTCCTAGCACATCCAGGCTTGGCTGCCCCTCATCTGCCTGGTACATGGCGCTGATGTAGTTGGAGAAGATGTTGCTGATCTCGCAAGATCCCGCCATCAAGCTCTGTGCTGAGAGACCACAGTGAGTCCTTGGTGCCATCCGGGCAGGGGGCCTTGGGTTCGCGGACCCCTTTCCCTGCAGCTGGCACCTCCTCCGAGGCCACCCGTGCCCAGCACCCTGCCTGTTTGAGTCACTGCCGTGCTGGGGCTCCTGGTGAGGCAGTGCCCGCTCCTCCCCAGAGCAGGGAGGCTCGCGCAGAGCCAGGGGACACAGAACCGCCTCGCAAGCATTACCGGCACACTTGCAAAAAAGTCTCCTCTCCAAAAATCTGTCCTCCCTGACCTCTCTCAAAGTCAAGGCAAGCAAATGATAAGCAAGCAATCCTGCTGCCCGTTAGTGGGGGTTTGGCCCCTCGGTGGGGCTGGACATGCAGCAGTCCAGCGCTCCCCCAGGCCCGCGGAAAATCACAGCCCGGCTCTGCGCACTGCCGACCCTGCCGGCATCGCACCCTGCTGCGGAGCCGGCATCAGATCAAGTCCCTGGGGCTCCTCGTAAAGGGGGGGGGAAAAAAAAGAAAAAAAAAGCACATCGCCATGTCTTTCTGGCCAGGAGAGCATCAAGACAGCCCTTGGCTCTCTTGGATGAGCCAGATCTAGCTGCTTGATTGAGAAAATAGGGCAGCTGGGAGGGAGCCCTCAACATCGCTGTTTCATTTACCCCCCAAAAGGGTTCAGGGCTATGGTGACAAAACAGGTGTTTAGCTATGGGGGAAAAAAAAACAATCAAAACCAACAAAACAAACAAACAAAACCAACAAAGAGCTTTGCACCCATTGGTGAGAGCAAAGATGCACGGGGAGGAAAACAAAGCAGCCACCCCGGGGAACGGGCAGCGAAGGGAAAAGCTTTGGTACCTTCAGTGGTGGCAATCCCGTGAGCAGCAGCTAATCCAACGCCCGGAGCGGCGAGAGGAGGACCCCGAGCGCCGTGCCCTGCAGCTAGTCGCTGCTCATGGGGGCCCTGGCCTGCAGTGTGGTGCCTATGGGCAGGCCCTGCCCTTGTCTCTCTTTTATAGCGCGCASAGCCGTAACGCGATCGGGCGGCCTGAGGGGAATTCCAGCCTGAAACGTTCGTGCTCCCAGATCCAGGTGATTTGCATAATATGAACCACCAGGTCCCAGCCCAGCTCTGCCTTGCCGGGAAATCTGGGTTGGCCAGTTTAATCATTGTCAGAGCCCTGTGCCCCGCTGATGCCCAGAATCTCACCCACGTTGGCTGCTTGGGGTGTTTTCTTCGCTCCCTGCTGTTTGTTTGTTCCCAGCAGCAGGTTCATTCCAAGGGAAAAACGCTGGGCAGGGCCGGGTGCCTCCTGGCAGGCCCCGTGGGGCTGCACATCCTCTCGCGGGGCTCTGGTGGGGCAAAGGGGCTGGAAACCTGCCCCAGGGGCCAACCTTGCTCTTGAGTATCCCCCTGCGAGGTCTTGCCCAGGATGAAAACCCAGGAGGGGAGCCTAGCCCTGGGAGACAAAGCCAGTGGCCCATGTCGAGCATTGGCTCGTGGACATCGGTCCAGCGTGGGCACAGCTCAACCCAAAGCGGGGAGGAAGGACTAGGTGACAAAGCTTGGCAGAGGCTGTGAGTGGCACCTAGGTGGGATCAGGSTGTCTGTGTGGACACAAAGTGGGGACAAGACAGACGGCTGAATATTTCTGTTCTCCGTGTTGGGAGAGACCTTTTTTTTTTCTTTACTTGCAGTTGGCTAGGATGGGCTGCAGTCCATCCCCTGCCATCTCACAAGTGCCTTGGCATGGGCACACACATAGGAAATATGCCAAAGGGAAGGGCRGGGCTGGAGGATGCATTTGAGGAATTGCTTTTGGTGGCTTCTGCCTCTCTGGCTGCTGGGCAGGGGGCTTTGGGACTCTCTCTGGATTTGTTTGTGCTCTTCTTGGCCCGGCACTCTTTTGGGGAAGTCTGGGCTCATCAAAGTTTATGGCCTGGCACCCGCTTGCCTGGAGCTGGTACTCAGCAGAGCCAGCATCATCCATGCAACACTCGCCTGAAGCAAACCTGTATGTTGTGTGAAGAGGGCAGACTCTGGCATCGCGTAGCCAGGTTTAGGTGCCCTCTCTTGTTTGCTTTGAAAAGGTGCCTGGAGCAAAGCCACTTGGGTTCCTGCAGGTGTGACGGACAGGAGCACATCAGGCAATACTGATATTCACCCTTGTCCTTGTGGCCGGTAAGGGCGCTGTGGCTGCACGCCCCATCCCTCTTCTTGTATCCCTTGTCCTGGCAGGATCCTTGCCGCAGACCCAGGGCAGGCAGGGCCACCCTGCCATCCAGGAGGCACTAGGTCACRCCAGCTCAGGAACCGCTCCAGCTTCATTCTTGCCCTGCACAGTCATGAGAGCTGGGTCTTACCTTGCCCTTTTGTTCCCCAGGCACAGCATCCTGCGGGGCAGAGGGCTGTCTGCGTGCCAGGGAGCAGCCTCTGCCATCAGTCATGGACCAAGCCACACGCGCTGGGGAACACACTGGTGCTGGACACACGGAGAGCGGAGYGCAGGGCTCCTGTTGTAGCCAGGCACTTGGATGCCAGGCTGAGCTTCCAGCCTTTGTGGTTAGAAACCTGCTCGTGAGGGAGCTTTTCCACTCTCTGCTGAAATGCAGCGGAGCGGGAGCACCAAACGAGAGCTCCATGCTTTGCACTTTACCAGTGCCACGTGCCAAGGGAAAAGTGGAGTTGGTGTTTAGCATTTAGGACCCTCCTGCCCAGCCTGCCCACTGTTGTGGGTCGTTTGGAGGCTCTGCCCTCCGCACATCCTAGCCTGCCCCCTTCCCTTTGCACCATCCTCCCACAGTGTCTTTGGGAGCCAGGAGATCATGGGCTCTGAGCAATCCCCACCCACACCAGCAGACACCTCTGACACTTCTTCTCTGTGGAAATGGCCCTCCTGCCTGCCCACCCACCTACGTGCTTCAGCGCTGGCCATGCAGGTGGGCTGTGAAGAACAGTTCACTGGGGGGCTCCTGTCATGCCTCATGCCTGGCATAGAGACAGCATGGAACTGGCATTTCCCTGCACCCAGCTGCTCAGGGACAGTGGAGGCTGCTGGAGCCAAGGCATTGCCCTGGTGAGTACTAGGGGTGAAGCTCATGGCCAGTCCTCCCTGCCCTGTGATGCAGGTTTGCTGCCTGCCTGGCATTTTAGGGGGAAGGGGAGAGAGGAGAGCATGGTGTCACATCACTTCTGCATGCTTGGTTGGGACTGCACATTGGTATTAGGATCACCATGCACTCAGTGGCACCAAAGGCGCAACCCAGATGTCCTGGCATTCCTATCTATGCTTAAGGGTCCCAGCCACAGCTCTTGGCACRGCAGGAGTCCCTTGCCAACTTTCCACTGCCATTTATCTTTCCAGTAACTTCTGCAGCAAAATGTGAYCTTGGGAACACACTCCAGCCTCCTCTGCATCTCCATCTCCTCATGGATCTTGGGGCTGGGTGGCCYGAAGTGAGGCATCCCCGTGGAGACACTGCTGTCCCCAGCACCAGACGCCGCAGTCCCACAGCCGGGGCTGCCACCTGCTGGCTGTCCCCACGGTCTAGAGCCGTTGGCTGTGACTTCCCTTGCTCTCCTGGGCCACCAGCCATGCGGAGGTGGTCTTCACCCAGCCAGGCTGCTTCCCAAGATGGGACATAGAGTGTGCTGCAGACGGCCAATGCCTTAAGAGCCTCATTCCCAGAAGGGATGCAGTGCTCTCACATCCCCTAGGATTGCAGCATCCTAGGAAGAGCAGGGCAGGTGTGTGGGCATCAGCACTCTGTCCAGGAGGTGCAGAAGGAGTGGAGCATCCTGMTCCAGTGCTGAACTTTCACCATGGACATGTCCCTGCAGACCCWGTCTCAAGAAGGTGCTGAGAGCCAGCATGGGCTGGGGGATGCTCTGCTCTCTGGGGAGGAAATGAGGGGAGAGCTGACACTTTGGCTTGGAACTGCCCAGCTTGATTCCTTCCTCCCCTCATCGCCCTTCTCACCAGGAGAGAGGCGCAGAGCCAGTCTGGCCAGGGGGGCAGCCTTTCCAGTTCAGTCCCTAGCGATTCTGGGCAGCCCAGCCATATCTGTCCCATCTGATCACAGAAGGATGTAGGTGAAGGTCCTCATCTCACAACACCCAAGGCAAGACCACAAGGACTGTAACGGCAGCACTTCTCCCATCATCTCCTCCAGTCTCTTCACCACATGCATCAGCACAAGCAGGTCCCAGCTCTGCTCCATCAGTTCAACACATTTTATTTGTGAAGACAAAAAGGCAAGGAACAAACACATCCATTGGGGGAAAAATCAAAACAAACAAACAAACGAAAATTACGTCATGAAACAAATAACTTACACTATTTACAAGAACACATCGAGGTATAAAATATATGTACATGCCTTAACCTATGAACAAACCCAGACCACTGGGCTGGTCTGCCCAAACCAACAGAGAAAAAAAGCCTTCCAAAACTTGGCCTCTACAAAACAGCTCCAAGCTAGAAAAGGCACCTGCTATTTGCGATTCTCCTGCAGCAAGAAGGGCTCCTGGAGCTGTGTGCGCCTACAGTTCCACAAGCCCTCTTGCTGGGCTGGACTTAAGGTTGGTCCCAGGAGGTGGGAAATGCTCAGCAGTCGGGCAGGTACCACGGGGATGTGCTTGGGAACCAGAGCTGTTGCAGGTTGGGTGATGAGCCTTGGGGAAGGGAGGAAGCCCAAGGAAAGTCAGAATTGAGCCTGGTGGGCTGTGATTGTGCAGGGCTCCCTGTCCATTATAGCTGGAGTATCTGCACCAAGGTGCAAAGGAGCCAGGGTCACTGGATCCACCTCCTCCTCTGGACAGTGAAAGGGATATGCAGAGGGAAGGTCAGCTGTGAGACAGTGCTGAAATGCAGATCTGAGCTCAGTGTTCTGCAGGGGTGGTACCTGGACCTACCCAGCTCGTATAGGACTGGCGAAGAAGCAGGAGATGGGCTCAGGGAGCAGCACTGACTCCRCAGAGTCAAGGCCAGAGGGCAGTAGCTGAGATCCCAAAGCTGCAGCTGTGCTTAGAGGTGCTGGGGAGGGGGAGAAAATCACAGAATCACAGAATATCCAAGGTTGGAAGGGACCTCTAGAGATCATCTARTCCAACCTTCCCGCTMAAGCAGRTACACCTAGAGCATGTGGCACAGGGTGGCATCCAGGTGGGTTTTGAAGACCTCCAGAGAAGAGGTCTTCATATACACCCAGGGGGAAATATACCCAGGGGGAAGGCAAGACCCTCATGCTTTGGCTCTTTGCATCTGGAGATGCTAAACTTGGACAYGCTAGCTGGCCTGGCTGGCTGGCCTGCTGCTTTGTGCCATAAAAGCTGTGCATGCAGGGAAGGAGAGCTATGCCTATGCTCCCTGGGTAGGCTCACAGAGGTCTAGCAGCCCAGGGCTTTTCTGAGCCAAAACTCACCCGGATACAACCCTGTGCAATGTGGTCTAGGTGTCCCTGCTCGAGCAGGGGCGTGGGACTAGATKATCTCTAGAGGTCTCTTCCAGTCTCAACCATTCTAGGATTCTGTGACTCATCTCCCTCCCCTTTGTGCAAAGGTCAGTCCTGGGCCACAACAAAACTGCACACAGGGGATGGAGCAGGCAACTGCGTCCTGAAGGGAGAAGACCCAGGGAGTGAGAGAGTGCATGCACAAAGACCAGTGTCACACAGCAAATGCGTCCTTCCCATCAAGGGAAGGACATCCTGGGACAGCAGGAATCATTGCATCCTTGGCATGAACCAAGGCACCCAGGGAGAAGCAAAATGAGTGAAGGCAGCTCCAAATCTTCCCTGCAATGGAGAGGTTTGGCAGAGATGTGTGGAGATGGCAAAGAAAAGCGGAACAACCCGGCTCAGAGTGAAAGCATGAAACATCTCCTCAGCTTCCTTCCACAGGCAAATACTCCTCACCTTCTCCCATACCCCTGACGTCTACTTCTGGGCAGCTAAGCCCATGGCCACAGCCCAAGTGTTCGGTCAATGTCACCTCAGGCTTACAAAAGAAGATAAAAACGGGCAAGTGCAGCTCTGGGCATGTGCTGTGATTCTTCCTAARAACAGGGCAAGCAGTGAAGAGAGGAGATGAAGGACCACAGTCCAAGGGGCGACATTTGCTAGTGCATGGTGGGATCTTGTGCTGCAGTGTTTAGAGGAACATGATTCCCCCAATATTGTGCATCAGAGTTATGACTCCTTGCCAAACTCCATCGTGCTGTGAGAGTCAGGTTTGCTCTTCAGCCAGAAGAGGACAGTGGGGGTGATCAGCAATGATTAMATTTTTTCCTAATTGATGTTCAATGCCCAAGAGACAATCTGGATTCAGGTATCTTTTGGGAACATGCAAGATTCAGCTGGACTTACAGGCCAACTCAACCCAGGCTGTTCCAGACTGCTACCGAATCAGAATAGGCTCTGGAAATTTTTAGCTTGGACAGGACCATTCAAACTGGGAGCTTTTCCTGATATTTCAAAGACAAGAGGCGTTTYGCTGCAGCCACCAGCAATCTGCAGAAACAGGACTACAGGCTGAGATGAGCCTCACAGAGATCCCTTTCCATCCTTCCAAAGGACAGGAGAAACCACTTCCAAGGTGCAAATCAGCACAGAGCAACAATGCAGAACTGTGGCCTGGGCATCGACCAGCAGCTGGAGCAAAATCTCCCACTGTAAAGGTGAGACATAGGGGTGCTCATAATAGATTGCATTGCCGTGCCCTGCTGTCCACCATCAGGGAAGACAGGGGAGGAGAGGTGAAGGACGGCTCAGAGATGCAGCAAGGTGAGGCCTTGTGGGCGAGGCCATGTATCCCCAGGACTAATTCAAGTGTCAAAATCATAACCATCACAACAATGATGAACAAAACCAGCCCAAACCCCACCCCCCGCCCTATCCCATTCCCCAAACCAAACCAAGCAATGACAACACCCAGCTTGCACCGTGAGGTAGCTAAACCAGATCAACACCCAAGAACCACTCTCCTGCATGGGAAATACTAACCCATGGAGGCAGAGACACAAACACACACACAGACTCATGGGACCACACTTGAGTCCTGCTTCAAAGACCTCCCCTTCTGACCTGCTTGAAGATGTGCTGCAGTGCTTGGCTTCTTACCCTGCATCTGGAGAAGGCAGCCTTGACTTGACCGTCTGGTTCCTCACTGGCTGCAGTGGGAGGAGAGGCACAGTCTCCATGCATCTTCYCCACTTTTGGAAGCCCAGCTGGCATGGTGCTGGGCATAAAGGCATAAAAACATATGCTTGGTCTTCCTAGGACTGGYCCCTCACTCCCACGGGAGATTAAGTAAGCATCTGCTGCCTGCACATAGTAAGAAACTTGCAGTAAAGTCAAAGTGGGAGGTGTAGCTGATACCCCAGAGGGCTGTKTTGYTGTCCAGAGGAACCTGGACAGACTGTGCAAGTGAGCGGAAAGAAGTCTGATGAAGTTCAACAAGGACAAGTGCAAGGTATTCCTCTCCCATCAGRGGAGGAATAACCCCACGCATCAGTACAGGCTGGGGATTGACCTTCTGGAGAGCCGCTCTGAAGRGAAGGACCTGGGCCTCATGGTGGACAACAAATTGAGCATGAGGCAGCAGTGTGCCCTGGTGGCCAAGAAGGCCAAYRRGATCCTGGCACACATGAAGAAGAGCGTCTCCAGCAGGTCGAGGGAGGTGATCGTCCCTCTATACACAGCCCTGGTGAGGCCACATCTGGAGACTGTGTCCAGTTCTGGGCTCCCCAGTGCAAGAGGGATGTGGAGCTGCTGGAGAGAGTCCAGYGCAGGGCTACGAGGATGATCAGGGGCCTGGAACATCTGCCCTATGAGSAAAGTCTGAGAGAGCTGGGCCTGTTCAGCTTGGAAAAGAAGAGATTGAGAGGGGATCTGATCAGAATATGTAAATGCATTAAGGGAGGGTGCAAAAAGGACAAGAGGGTCCAAAGGAACTTAAGGAAAACACTATTGACAGCAAGGATGATAGAGCACTGGAACAGGTTGCCAAGAGAGGTTGTGGAATCTTCTTCTCTGGAGATACACAAAACCTGCTTGGACGCAATCCTGTATAACATGCTCTAGGTAACCCTGTGTGTGCAGAGGGGTAGGACCAGACGATCTCTAAAGGTCCCTTTCAACCTCAGTGATTCTATAAAAGCCATGGAAGGTCTGAACCAAAATCCCCCAGCAGCAGGTCCCTTCACCAACTTCAAGCAGGGAGCAGCATCGAGAGGTTTTAGATCAGGCACTAGCAGATCTGAACGTAGACACTGACACATTATGGTCCACATATGGTCTACATGGTGCACAAGCCCTGGCTACAGGTAGTTTCACACTGACACATACACACTCAAACACACACACCCTCGGCCAAATGCAAGTTGAACAGGCTGAGCAAAGAGCAGAGGAACCCTAACCAAGATGCTCGYGCCCTTGGAGGGTAACACCTCCTCGCTCCTGCTTAGCCATCTCATCTCTGTGCGTTATTCTGGTGGCCAGAGTACCTTGTGCCTTTTTATTTACCCCGCTCCCAGTCCCAGCAGCGTACACCAAGTCCACAGTAGCTGTTCCTCCTGTCACCTCTCTGGGTACACCAGCATCTSCTGGTGACAGGAGAGGTCCTGGAGCTTGCATTCAAGAACTTCAGTCTCYACCACACTAGGATCCCTCTGGCATCAGCCCCTGTGCAGTGCCAGAGCCAGCTCCAGGTGCTAGGGGCTCCAGGGGGTCTCCTCACCTCCAAAGCAGCCTACAATCCCAGGCTGAGCAGAGCTCGGCAACTGTCAGGAGAAGGCTGTTCGCTGTCCTTGTCAGTATCATGAGTACAAACAAGCCACCATGCCTTCCATCAGGATGTGGCAGCAGGATTTTTTTTTTTCCTAAAAAGACAACAACAAAAAATCCATCAAATAAATAGAGATGCTCCTGTGTTTTGGAATGCAGAAGAATTCCCACTTTCCAGCTGGAATAGTCTTGAGGAGTCCTGGTGGCAAAAAGACTGGATTTGGTCTTCAAGTACCCATTCTTGGAGAAAGCAGGGATAAAACAGTGGGTGTTTTTTTAAGAGCAATTAGGCAGATCCTGGAGGTCCCAGTTTGGCACTGGYGGGATTACATGGAGAAATCCTTAAATCAGAGTTCAAATACTGCTTCTTCTGTGACAAAATGGGAGGAAGAACATRAGAGTGCCTTTCCCAGCGTCTCCTCTGCTGTCTCACATCAAGTCCTGTCTGATACCATACAGGATGGAGGGGGATGATCCAGTGGGTCATGAAAGTGCCAGTGTGAGGGGGCCTTGGCGGCCCCTTGAGCAGGTGGAAGGGAGAACAGTGGTGGTGTCCTCTGGGAAACAAACTCCTGGAATGAGTCCCCAGCCTTCTGCGGAAGCTGAACTTTGTGAGGTCATTTACAGGGGATGAAGAACGCGCACACTTGTCCTTCAAGCATGGGGTGAATCAGTGCAAGACGAGTGCATGCAACCCTTTCCTGTGCTTCAAGTACAGATGACTCGCACCTCTCCTCCAGCTACACCCATAGCTTGCTGGGCATCCTCTGGCTCCGGGCTCTGCTGGAACCCAGTCCCACATGTCCATGCCCAGCACCAATCCTGCCTCCTGGCAATGGCTCAGCTAAGTTTATAAYCACAATGTGGAGACTGGGAAGGAAACGTGCAGCAAATTGGTCTTCAAGTTATCGAGGGAAGGTGTCTCCAGGCTGACCCTACTCTTTGTGCCCATGGCTAGGGCCCAGCAAAGCAGCTGAGTGAGGTAAATCCAATGCACATCTCCAAGCATTAAGGCCAGGTAGACCGATTGAGGGGAATGGATCCAACTGGACACCCTTATGCAGATCTGCTACCACACCGAGTTACTCTCCCATGCGTAACTTCTCCAGGGAAGCAGCCTTCAGTGCTGGGTTATATAYCTATGGATACCACACTCTGCCCCCTCCATGCTGTTGTCCTGGCCAGCAAAACCCATCAGCTTTGACATTGTGAGGTGGAGACAGATTGCTGCAGGAACCAGCTCTGGAGCCCACAGCAACTGAAGAAGCACTGACAAAGGCTGCATGAACACATTTCAAGTAGAAGAGTAAACAATGTCACCAAGAGGGAGTCAATCTGGAATCCGACACCCAGGAATCCCATCAAGTGTTACAGCAGGCTGAGCGAAAAGGGAGCTGAAGCGTTTCCCAGTCACAAGAAAACCATCGGGATGCTGCAGCAGGAGGAAAAGGGGAGATGACAATGCCTCACAAAGCTGCTTCCTCATGGAAGCCGGCAGTGCACAAAGTACCAGACAGGACATCATCCATCCTGTGGGATCAGGCACAAAGAAGTTCCCATTACCGGGCTGAATTCTTGCAGATATTAAGGTCTTAATAGTGAGGTAGAGGGACTAAGACCTTTGCCCTCCTGTCACTTTTTCCAGTCTTTTGGCAGCTCCTAGTTGGATCCAGTAGGTAATCTCCTCCCACTCCAGAGCTTCACTGTCAAGTCACTGAGAAACAAAGGTGAGAGGGATAAACGAGGGGCAAACACCACGGAAGGCATTGCTCAAGAAACATGTTCTCCACCCCCAGCCCACAGTAGCATGCAGCCCCCAAAAAAGGACTTTTCTAGGCTAATTCCTCTTGGCAGGAGGTCACCCAACCCAGTCTGGGGAGCAGGCAGGCCCAGTGGGGCTCAGCCTCTAGAGACTAGTGGCAGCAGCTGATGACAAGGAACAAAGATATTATGATCTGTGGGGACTCCGGAGCTGACTCTCCCAGGAGGATTCTCAGGGTCCTGTGACACTGCAGGGAACGGGTGAGCTTTGCCTCCCTGAGGCACAGGGTGCTTTGGGGAGCAGCTGCCAGCTCCTGCTCTGTCACGCATGCATGGGTGGAGGCAGGCTATGGCTCCCACAGAGCTGCAGCAGTAGATATGGGCACTGGGAAAACAAAAACAAAAGCCAACAAAACCAGGAATGTGACTGGGGCAAAGGGGTAAGTCACTTCTAGCAAAAAAAAAAAAAATCAAGTGGAGAAAAACGCAAAATAGTTTCATACCGTTAAGAAGCAGCTCAGACCAGAGAGAAAGAGAGAGAGAGAGAGGAGCTAAAGCAAGCAGCAGAGAGAAAGAAAGACAGAGGAAGGAAGAGATGGACAGAGAGAGAAAAGAAAAGTAAGATAGAATAAGAGTGCATGAGCAAGAGAGAGCCAGAACAGGAGGGTCAAGGCAGACTAGTAGCACGGCCCTTTATGGCAAGGACGCGTCGTGGAAGGCAAGGGGTGAGCCCAGGCACGTAATTCCATAACTTTACCCGGCAGTCACTGTGGCACAGATGGGAGGTTGGGAGGTGGGGAGTGAGAGAGAGAGACAGAGAGACAGAGAAAAAGGAAGGGAGAAAAGGGACATGGTTGAAAAGAAGGTATCAGAATCTTGCTGCTGGAGAACTCCCCAAGAGCAACAGGGGGTGACCAGCCCCCACAGAAGACGGGTCACTGTGTTGGGGACAACCACAGCACCACCACAATGTGGGCTGGGGGCACAGGAGCAGGAGCTATGCTCGGCCAGCCTGGCCATGGGGCAGGCTAACATCAACAGGATGACATGCAGGTGTGCRGGGACTAGAAAGCTGTAGGGAAGCCCCTCTTCCTTCCCTCCTTGTCCCACTTTTCCTTCATTCTCAGTGGAAACCCACCCCAGCTCAGGGCTGACACCTCCACCCAAGGGTCTCCCCCTCCCAGGATGCTCTGAGGACCAGAAAGCCTGAAGCTCACCTGGAGGCAGTGAAGATGTGCTTTGAGTTGGTGCAGATGGCGTTGATGGGGCTGTCGTGCCCTTTGATCTCCCCAACTGGGGTGAAGGTGTCCACATTCCACACTTTGATCATGCCTCCACGGCAGGCACTCAGCACCATGGGGCGACCAGGAATGAAGGCCAGGGCACAGACCCAATCTTTGTGTGCATTGGGGATTTGCTGTAGGTAGGGGGACAGGACAGAGACCATTACCATCCTTAAAGCAACAATTTAATCTGCAGCACACATTCAAGAGCTTCTTAAATGCAAGCAGGAACMCTCAGATCACCGCCGCCTGCCATGTCCCCATCCATCCGGATGCTAGGGATGACACTGCAAAGTTAGGAGGCCATGGGGCTCAATCCAATACTTGGAGCTGGGATTGTCTCTTGGGCAGGAGGCAACAGTCTTGTCTTCAGAGAGGAACATGGCATCCAGGTACCCAGAACAGCATTTCCTGCCACAGCCCGATACCCCTGGGTGCCATCTAGGAGTACTGGGCCATCTAGCATACTTTCCCACAGCAGTGGGGCTTGCTAGAGTTCAAGGAATAGAGGTGCTCTTTCAGGTTAGCTTAGCGCAGGACACTGATACCAGGTCTCTGAACTTCTCCTTAGGCCCTTTGTAGCAATGCTCCTCTCCCCCCATAACCCAGGGAACCTGTTCCATCCACTCCCCTCCAGACCTGGATAAGTTCCTGCTGCTCCAGATCCCACTTCTTTATGCCGTTGTCCCTGGAGCCACTGAAGAGGGTGTCTCCCTGGATGGCCAGGCACTCGATGCCGTCGTAGTGAGGGGGTTCAAAGTTGTGCGTGGGGCCAATGTTGCCCACCATGCCCTCAGTGATCTCAAAGACCTGGGGGAAAGCAGTTGGTGAGACACCTCAGATGGGAATGGAGGCCACCTGCTCTTGGACAACTGGCCATCAGTCTCTGTTTCTAGGCTCAGAGTAGCTATAGAGTTGCTGGAAAGGGGAGAGTTAATTACAGCTTTTTAGGGGGAGGCAAAGGTCTAACTAAGGATTCTGCCACAATCATGGGAATCTGCCACCAAAGACAACCCYCATTCCATTGCATTTTACCCGTGGGGAGTTTTTACACACCACAATGGGCCAAGTTAACAGCCTGCGGCTACCAGAAGAGTGAGATCCTGCTTTTCTTCCCAGCTCATTTCTCTCTGCTTCCCTGGTGCCAATTCCTACTAAACCTGCTAGAAAGAAAGATCAGAAAATGAAAAAGGAGGGGGGAAGTTTTGACTGTGTCAGTGCTGGGAACAGGCAGGCACAAGGTCTCTGTATCTGTGATAAAGAATACGCAGGACAGAGCAAGCTGCTAATCTGTGCCAGCCACAACAAGCAAATGTCATCCACAGAGCCTGAGGTTTAAGAAGGTTGCAAACTCCTGCCTCCAAAACTTAATTTGTATCAGGGGCAAAGCAAAAGGCAAGACTGGGCAGGAGCAGATGGGCCAAAAGCCACAGACAAGGGAAAGGAGGAATCTGAGTGAGGAGAGCATAGGCTTTGGGAATTGCTGAGCTCCCCTATGGACATTGGGCTCTGCCCCAGAGCTAGATAAGAGTAGTATCATAGAATCATAGAATGCTTAAGGTTGGAAGGGACCTCAGAGGTCATGTAGTCCAACTCCCCTGCACACGCAGGGTCACCTAGAGCACGTGGCACAGGGCTACAGTACCTTGACGTAGTGATCTTTGGAGCCCGTGACCACCAGGTCATGGTTGCTTGCAGTCTGGTTTACTGTGAGACACATCACAGGCCCGATGTGGCCACTCAGCTTCCCGATGGGTTGTAACCTTGGAGCAAAGGCATAGGGTCAGCTCACCCTTCCCTGGGCACCAAACCCCCTCCAAGAGGCTCCCCTAGGTACACGCCTGGTGTCCCCCCACATGCCTGGTGCCCCTCCGATAGGGAACAGTGCCCAGGGGGAATATGAGCTGGGACATCCTACTTTCTAGTGATACCAGGGGTAAAGCAGCCTTGGGACACATCAGCAGCCTCTGCAGAGTCCAGGAAGAAGCCAAAGCTCAGCAACCTGGTGCCTACCTGGCAGGGAAGGGAGAAACAGCACAACCAGCGGGATCCTGTCCACTGTCTGTATTTTTCCCCTTTTCTGCCTAATTCTCAGTGGATGGGGGGGCTGGGGCAGTCATTCCAGGCCCTCCTGAAGGGCCAGTGTCTGCTGAAGGTCAGCAAGCTGCCTGGTCCGCTTGTGGCACCAGCCCTCACCTGCTCAGCTCCCAGACGCGGACAGAGTTGCCGGTGGCGGCGTAGAGCGTGGTGCCGCTGGGGTTGAGCGCGATCTGGTTGATCTGATGCTCACCCTGTACGCTGGTGACAGTGCGAGTGCTGGTACCGGCACATGCATCCCCAGAGATCACCTGGCCAGAAGATCTATGGAACGGAGAGACGGAGGAGGGAGGATAAGTGGAGAGCAAAGTTCTGGTCTGCAAAGACCAGAACTGCAGAGGCCTTGCTCTGTAACTCGATGGGACTGCTGGGCTCCAGATTGGCACAGGTAGATCCCATGTCTTGGAAAGCCCTTGGATATCACCTACTGCAGGACCACCCTGGGATCAGCCTGTCTTCCTGGCCACCGCTCTCCYTGGGAAGTGGAACCATGCACTTCACTTGGAGTGTGTGCATGATATAAAGCATCCTACTCTGCCCCCTGTTTCCATTTTGGGCTGCTCTTTCTTCCTCCCATTTCCATTTCCTCCATGTAGGAAGAGGAAGAGCTGGCTGGCAGGTAGCACAAGGAGGTAGAAGTATCTGGCTTCACCATCATGGATAAGGTGGTAGAGAGAAGCACCTTCAGATCAATGCAGATGAGACAAGGTTGATGGAGAAAGTATCTCTTTGCTGGAGTGAGCTAGGGGCATAGAGAGCTCGCTCTCTGCCAACCTTTGGGCTTCGCTTTGGTTTGGCAGACAGTAGGCACAGCCAGTCCCTCCCTCCTTTCTAGTTCTCAAACTCCTCTCTAAAGATCCAAGTTTCCACTCTGGACTGCCAGACATACAGGAACATGTCTGCTACCTGCCAAAAGCCTTCAAGGTTCTCWCCCCTGAGAGAACCCCTCATTGCAGGGTGGTCCCAGGTCTCCCCCAGTCTCTCTGCTCCGTTGCACTGCAGCACTGCATTTGCTGCAAACTGACATCAGAACTGCTGGCTTGTGGCTTTGCCTCTATCACCTGGGGCCCCAACAGCTCCTGGCATTGGCTTCTGCAAAGCCAGAGGTGTTCCCAGTTCCATGGTCCCTCCGGGTCACTCCCGCCTGCTACATACGTGAGGGTGCGGATGCACCGGGCCGAGTCCCGGATATCCCACACTTTGATGTATGAGGTAGACACGGTGAACACCAGCCCTGTGTGGCTGCAGTACTTGATGGAAACCACATTGTTCGGGTGACCCTTGAGGGAAGCAATTTCCTGGCCCGTCACCAGGTTCCACATCTTGCAGCTCCGGTCTGTGGGAGAAGGAAGGTACCCAAGAGCGTCAGACTAGGGCAAATCTCTCACTGGGTCTGGGCGGTTAAGGGTTTCCCCTGTCTCAAGGGAAAATGCACCGGCCAGCCCTGGCACCAGCATAGTCCAGGGGCAGCCTCAATACTGAGGACAGGACAGAGGTCCAGGAAGAACCATCCCCCCTGCTGCCAGGCACTTCATGCATATTCCCTCTTGCCAGCAACTCCCACATCCTCTCTCTGTGTCACACACCTTTAGACCCAGTGAAAAGCAACTCGTCGGTGGCATCCAGACAAAGCACAGGTTTGGTATGTCCTTCTGCCATGGAGACACACTGCAGTGGGGCTGTCCGGGCATTCTTGGTGCCACCCACTGGATTAATGATGCCCCTTGCATGGGAAAGAGAGAACAAGAATGTTGGGGTCTGTGTGTGGACAGGTATGAAGCTACATAGGCCCAGAGACATGAGAGGACAAGAACTGCCTCATCCTGAAGATCTCCCACTAGCTAGCCAAAGGAAGAGCCCCTCTCTAGACATGCCCATACAAACCTCAGCACAAAGATCCTTGTGCCTGTCCATGCCCATCCCCATCAACCTATGCTTCATGTCTCTGTCCCTGTGAAGGAACCCGTCTAGAGATCTATCTAGTGGTCTCTGTTCTGCTGCTCAGACTGTCATGCCCCACTGGCACAGACCCAAGGAACAAGGAGACCCAGCTCATCTGCTGTCAGACCAGACTGGGACAAATGGGACCCTGCACCTTGCCTTGCCTAGGGCTCTGCTCACCATGAATGTTTCAGGATAGCAACATCTGCAACTCCACTTCCTTGGAGGTTGGGGTCTCCAKCCCATGGCTTGTGGGCCACAGACAAGGCCCTGCTGCAAGACCACAAGCATGGCAAAGAACAGTAGCTTTTTTGCATGCAGCATCTATATTACAGTGGCCATGAGAGCTCTGTTACCTATCACTGGCTCTAAGCAGAAAAAGGTAAATCCCGGCATCCCTGCCAAAGCTTTTTTTTTTTTTCTTCCTCAAAACATGTCAATGCAYGATGCAACCTCAGGATACAGAGCATCTGCCAATCCCTTCCACGTCAGCAGCGTATCGGGCACTGGGCATTGACCATTCCACCCTCCCCGTCCTCAAGGGACATGTGCACGGCCACTAAAAGCTCTCACCAGCTGAGATGCCAAAGCGCAGTCTCCTCCTGCAAGCAGAGCCTGGAGCTGTGCTAGTCTTTCTTTAACACGTAGGGAAACTGGGACACAGGGCTGAAGAGGGGCCAGCACATGGCCATGAATTAGTTGGGAGGACAGAGCAAGCATGGGGGCTCCTTAATTTGGGCTTGAAGGTCACCTGCGTGTGCTCTTTCTTTCTGCGTGTGCTCTTTCTTTCTCAGAAATGCATTGACAAACGCAGATGAAATGATCCTCCCCTGACTCCTAGTGTTTAACCCAATCATGAGGCAACACTGAAACCACATGGAAATCCCTGGTCCCTGACGTGGGGTGAAATATTATCAATGGGTGCTGCAGCTGCAAATAACCTCGAGGGCCCAGCACGCACCAGTACAACCAAGTCACTGGTACCATCCCTGCGAAGTGACTAAGCCAGCTCAAAGTACAGGCAGCGCAAGGAGACACCCAGCTCAAGGGTTTATGTTCCTGCAGGATAGTGAAAAGGTTGCCATGCTGGTAAGTAACTGCAGATGGTGGAATAAAAGAGGGGGACAAGCCCAGTGCTCCCTTCACCCCCAAGGCTAAGCTCTGGGCTGCAGACTAATTTGAGAAAAAATCTCTCTGCAGGTTGAGGAAAGAGATTGACTGTTCCTCAGCCCAGCACTGGGAAAGCACATCCAGACGTGGGGAGCGCTTACAGATATCCACCTGGAAGACAYGTGCAGGGAGGACGCACGGACAGTGGCCAGTGTTGCTCGAGCCACTCCARTGCCCTAGCATCATGCCATCCTACCGGAGAGCGGAGGGAGGGACGGGACACTGAAATTACGCTGCTGAGAGCCCACCAGAGGTGCAGCAGAACACGTGCTCGCCCCCATCCAGCCAAAGGCCACAGGTGTCCCCAGTGCCACCTTCACAAAGGCTGATCAAAGCAAGAACAGCTCGAAACTAATAGAGGACAGCACCAGACGTTGGAGTTGGCATGCCAAGGAGAGAGGACAGCACACACTAGCAGTCTGGGAAAGAGGCCTGGGAGACAGGGCAGAGCAGCAAGGTACAGGTGGAACATGCAGGGACCAGGGAGAGTGGAATCTTAAGAAAAGAGAGGAGGAGGAGGAGGAGGAGAGGAAGAAGTGATAATAAATAGAAAGTTGTCTATACCTCAGCACCTCCGAGACAGAGGAATCGCTGTCATCAGACCTAGGGGCAGAAAATTAGCAGGATTATGGGAGAGAAAACCCAGAACAGAAGAGGCAGAAGAGGAGTCAGAGATGGAGGGTTGTTATTGCATCCAAGTCAGCATGTGACAAAGAAACAGAGAGAGAGAAACAGAGAGAAGCACACAGGGAAAATCAGGGGAGAGGGCAAAGGAGCAGGATGTGACATGAGGATCAAACGGCAGATCTCTGTCGGGCACATCGATGCTGCTAGATTTGCTCTAAGTCAGGCACCAAACTTAGGAACAAGTGACCAATCTGCCACAGGGGCAGTCGGAGCAGCATTTGCGAATTTGTGCAAGTCCATCAGGTTCTTGTGAGCCTCACATCCTGCCCCACCCCAGCCCATCCTGCTCCGCAGTCCTTCCCAGCAGCCCAAGACTGGCACCATCACRTCTCCAAGCGTGGCTCAGCAAGAGCCCAAGCCTGTGAGCTCCAGCGAGCAGCCAGTTTTGAGGGAACMCACACCAGGTCACCACAGGACAGGGGCAGAGAGTCCAGCCTGGCCCTTGCAGAGCATCTGTTCCGTTGCAGAGAGCAGCAGTGAAGGAAGATGGTGATGAGAGTCTGCTTGGAGCCATCCCAGCTCCTGTGCTTCTATACCCTGTAGTGGGACCTGGTATTTGCCGCTTGCTGATACAGCATCGATCCCCCTCACTCAAATCAGCCCACACCAATAGGACTTACTTGTCCAAGGCAGACCCTTGGCTCTGGTTGCTTGTCAGACGRGAGAAAACATTGCGATCATTGCGTGGCCGGGTAGGTGGGGATGAAGGAGGTGTGAAACCAACATCTGGAGGCCTGAGCCAGGAAGGAGTAAACAGAAATGTGACATGGAGTACTCAGTTGTCAGGCGCTTAAATCCCTGTTGCCCACACTGGTACACGAGAGCCATGCTGAATCTGCCACAGGCAGCGCAATTAGCATCTCCCCACTTGTCTAAGTCTCCCCATGGCAAAGTCTCCAGCTCACCTGGCAGGTTGCCCACGGTCATAGGATTTCCTCCTTGTCAGGGGTGAAGTGTCTGAGCCACGAGATTGCCTGGGGCTGGAGCAGAGCAAATGGTGATAAGTGCCCTTCTCCAGGCTGAGTCCCTCTCTGCTGAACCCAGATCCCTCCCCCATCAGAGCAAATGGAGAAGTTGGGGTGCTCTAGAGGCATAATCACAAGGTCGGAGGATTTCTCAAGTCATCACATGAGTGCAGGTCCTTGTGGCATCCTGGGAAGCTGCCAGGATTCTGCTGCCCACAAAGCTGGTAACAGAACCCAAGGCAATGATCTAGTGGCCCTCATTTCATCCTTCTTTTCTCTCCTCCTTAAGTACTCTTCTCTTTAGTTGCAAAGGATATCAACACATTCCTAGATATTCTCCAGCTTGAGAAACCCACCACTGCTTGCTGCAAACTGGTCTGGAAGGGTGTAAAATTTGGCACATGCTTTGTGCTTTGGAGGGCTAGGACAACTTCCCAACCACCAACCCATGCCTCCGTGAAACTCTTGGTACACAGAGACCCATTACCCTAGGCTTACAAGGTGCTTCCTCGTGTGGGCAGGCTGATGGTTCGGGACACTTTCTCCTTACAGTAGGGGTCTCGGATGGAGAAGCTGATCCCGTCCTCTTTGATCTCCATGAGGGACGCCAARGATTTGGTGATGTTCTTGGTGGAGATATCCAGTGTGGGTCCTAGACACTCGGCTGATACTGCCTTCATCTGCCCTGAGAGCTTGGGCTCTCCCTGGAGCAGGGAAGAGGAGTCAGACACAGGGAGCATGGGAGAAGACATGGGGTACAGCAGGAAAGTGCAGGGTGCTGTTGCTCATGGTCTGTGAATATGAGGGGATAAGTTTCCCTGTATCACACTGGGATGCCCACCACAGCACTGGTTCTCCAGGCTACAAGAAAGGGTGACAGCYTGAAGAGAGCAGAGGGATTTCCTCCTCCTTCTCGAACACAAATGAAAGATGTGGTACTGCGTGGCAATCTGCTTATGTGCACACAAACTTGGAAGGTATTGGGTATCCTTGTGCACAGAGTGTGTATATCCTTGTGCAAGTCCCTAGTCCTTCAGGAGATTACAGAATCAGGAGCTATGGGATTCTCCTTGTCTAGAGATGACTCCACCATTCTATGAAATCCAAGGCCTGGCTCCCCAAGGGCAAGACAACGAGGCCAAAATCAAGCCCTKGCAGAAAGTGTGCCCATCACATACCCTGTGACAGGGCCACACAGCAGGACCAACTCACCTTGAACTTGAAGTCATCCTGGCTGGCTGAGCCCTTCATGGTGAAAGACTGCGAGAAGCTGCAAGGAGTGTGAGAAGACCAAGCTGGATTTTCAATGCTGAATACTTTTCAGAGACCTGCCCTCTCCCATCCTCTGGTCTCACTGGATCACCTCCTGCACTTCAGCATCCCTTCCCCATCAAATGGCTTACTCTTCATTCCTTGTTGGTCTAGGAAATGTTTGTGCTCCCCCACAACAGCTAGACACCAGAGGAAAGCTTAGATGGGACTTTCTTCATCTATATCCATTCTTGAGGTCCCATGAGTGGAATCAGACTCCCTACCGCATCACAGACACTGGGACTACCAGGTCAGGCACAGTCTGCAAGTCAGGGCTAAGTTGGGTACTCACCTCCCATCTGAAGCCAGGCTGAATTCGGAGACTTCATCATCCGTACTTGTGTAGCCATTCTCTGTGCACATGGGAGAAGGCATGTGAACAATATGAAGGGCTGCACATCACACCAATTCCCAACTGGACTGGCTGGCAGCAAGGCTAAGGGCAAAGCCTGGCTTGCTGCGAGATGCCACATCCTGTCCTTGTGGCTCTGCTGACATAGCTCAGGTTCCCTGCCCAGAAGCATCATCACACCCGGGTGCTGGTGCCTGGACAGGCTGACCCCAGCCATGGCACCTCCAAGTGCACACTCGGGGTTGGCATAGGCAGGCTAGACTCAAGCCACAGGGAGGAGACGGAGGCTCCATGGGCAACAATGCCTGGCCCAGGGAAAGTACCGGTCCAGCCCTTGCCCCYCACTCTGCCTCACCAAAAGTTCCTCCGTCAGCTCCCGGCCCACCTTGCTGGACATTGTGAATCAGAGCTTGCAGCTCAGGATGCAACTCTGCCTTCTCACGCAGGGCATCCAGGATCATGTGGTTCTGTGAAGAGCCGGTCACATCTGTCTGCCTCAGGCGTCCCTCCAGTAGGCGTATCTGGGCTTCCTTCTGTGCTACTTGCAGCCCCTGGCAGGACAGAAGACCATGGTTAGCCTGAAACAGTCACACTGAAGTCTCCATCTCTGTCTTCCATAGAGCCTGGGAGCAACCTCCATGGAACGACTCAGCTCCCCACCAAGCAGCATCAAGAAAACCCCTGTCACAAGAATGAGATGGGAATGAGGTTCCTGGCAGGACCTGGTCACACCTTTCCCAGCCCCCCGCCTCAAGTAGTGCAGTGTTCCCATACCTTATCAATGGAAGCCTTCAGGAAATTATCCAGCAGGAGCCGGGCTTCAGCCAGGGAGCAAGAGCTGATCACCACAGAGGTGTCAGTGGAGTCCAGCTCTTCCTGAAGATCAGAATTAGGCAGGGAATTAGATGCTGGGCATGGGAAGGGCAGAGAGCGGGCACAGTAGCCAGCACTGCTTCACAAGGCTGTTGGTGGCACCTCTGCTACGTCCCTGTCTTGAATCATTCACTCTTGACTCTCATTTACTCCAGTCTTCCCAACTGACTGCTGAGATCTAGACATCGAGACTCACATCAAACCCAGAACAGGAAACCTCTTGGTGCAGGCACTTAATTCAGCTAATTTGCAGGCACCAGCCTCACCCAGATTCACACCTCAAATCACCAGTTCAAAGTCTAGCCTAAATTAACAAGAGCCTCTTTTCCTCTGCTCATCCATGTGACACAAACCCGGCAAGAGCACAAGCACCTCTTGTCCAAGGCTACAGCCACTAGAGGGAAATGGAGAGTCGGGAAGCTCTACCATGCATCCGGTATAGAAACCAGGACGTGTTTGTTTGTTTTTTTTTCTTTCCTCTCCTCTCTTCTCTTCTCTCACTGGGAAAAAATGTTGATCCTCCCCCAAGGAAGTATCTCATGCAGGCCTTAAAAAGGACTGCAAACTCCCATGAATATGCGTGACCATCAGTCTTTGGGGAGGCCATGGACTGTGGCTTTCCCACATCTCTCAAGGCAGTGGAGTCTGAGGCATCTGGGCACCTGGGCTCATTTCCCAGYCCTGCTGCTGAGTCCCCACAAACCAAGTGAGGAAGAGGAGTGGGGAAAGAGCCTGACTGCCCATCCTGTACTGGTGGCCGATGCCTTCTTGTAGAGGTGTTAGGAAGCTGCAAGCACCTGGCAGAGCTCCCACTCACAACCAACCACACAACATGATGGGCTGGTGCAACATCTCACTGTCAGTATTTACATCATTGGCCTAGAAGAAGAGGCCAGACATACAACCTGGTGGGCCTTGACCTCCTGGGGATGCTCCCCACTCTACATCTCTGTCTCCATTTCTGCAGGCTGAGCCTGGTCAACTTGCCCACCTTTGTCTCCTCGATTTGCATGATGGTAGCCTGGCAGTCAGAAATGCTGTCATTGATGTAGTCTATGTTGGCCCCCAGCACTTCAATCTCCTCATTCAGCTCTTGCAGGCCTTTTTGCTCCTTGGGGCTCTCTGCTTGTAGTTTTGTTCGCTTGCCTAGCAATGCCTCTTGCAGTAGCGCCAACTCCTCCCGTTTCTGGGGGGAGAAAAGGAGGTTGGGTTGGCACTGTCAGCATGGTTCTCCCCTAACCCTGCGCCCACCGCCCAACACCAGTGCTGTCCCTTACCTTGATGAGCCGCTCCATGTCGGCCTCCAGGTTGACAATGGTCATTCTCTGCATGACTATGTCGAAAATGCGTCGTTCCAGAGACTGCCATTTGAGACGGGCAGCCTTGCTGAAGGTCTGGCTTGTCCCCTTTTTAGGGAACTTCTTCCTACAGCCAAAGGGGAAAAAAGGGGTCAGGGCACCAGCCACAGCTTCCTGGAAAGCTGTGCTTTCCCCTAAAGGACGTCCTGGCTCTGGCTACCCAAAGGTGGAGGAGGCATCTGCATCRTTTTTGGGTGACTCGGATCTGCCATCCTCCTTGTCTGCTCTTGTTAACTCTAGTCCCTTGTTGGCAGAGGCAAGAGACTGCCAGATCATTACAGCAGGGCTGAACCTGGCAGGCTTTGTGCCAGCACTTGTAGGAGCCCAGTGTTGGGCTCAAGCTCAAGCAACRGGTAGTCACACGCTACCAGCCTGATCTACCACCAGATCAGCAACTTAGTACAGGCCAAACGTGCTTCAACCCCTGCTCCCAGCTATAAGTCACATCTGCTATTATGGGGATCCTGGGAAGACTTATCGCCCACCCTGCGCAGCCCCAGCTCAGCAGAGCCAGACCACCTCTGTCCTGACCTGGCAGGCCGAGTTCCATTCATGGAGGGCGAGGAGTCTCCCAAGAAGTTATTGATTTTCCGGTTCCACTGTCGCACGATACTGGAAACGGAGCGAGCTCCAGATTCAGGCTCCGAAGAGGTGGTGCTGGCGGAGACCTCCGCACCGGAGTCCAGCATGGCTGGCTTTTGGCTCATCCTGCCTGCRACCCGGTCCGACATGGGCTTGGCGAGACGGCGCAGAGCTGAGACCTACCCAAAACAGGGCAGAGGAATGCCCATGTCAAACAGGCATCCCTGGCCCAACCCAACCTCAGAAACTTCTACTCTTGGCCGGACCAAGAGCAGCAGCAGATCGGAAGAGACCCGAAGCTCCAAGACACAGATGGGTGCGAAGCCAAGATGGGAAATAAGCCCTGGCTAAGCAGCTCTAATGGAAGTCTGAACCTTGCCCTGGGGGCATTTGTGCAACTCTGTGGACAGCACGCAGAGGATTGCTCCTTCCTGACTCCCATTCGTCCTCCCGAGATCAGCTGCTCTAGGAGGTGAGAAATTCCTCTGCCGGCCACAGTTGTTCCTCCTGAGCTACCTGGTTACTCACAGCCATAAACATCTTACCAGTCCTTTGGGAAATCTAACCCCAGGGCKAACATTCTCCAAATGGCTGGTTGTCTCCAAGTCAAGTTCGTGGAGTGCCGCTCCAATGGAGGTGGAGATGTTTCCTGCTTGCCCCAGACAGCTCCCAGAGGCCCCTGTCCCAGCAGAGGTGACTGCCACTCTCTTACCTCCTGGGTTTTCCTTCGCAATACTATTTCCTGCTGCCGCTTCTGAGACTCCAGAGCCCGGATCTGAAACTGAACATGAGAGAAAGAGATGCCTTGGGTCTTATAGGCTAGGGAGGGCTGCCCAAACACCCTAGCAATGATCTCAGTCCCTGGGCTCCCACCACTGAAGCCAGGACGTGGTGTAATTCCATATGGGACCAGATTCCTGAACAGCTGTCTGGATGTGAATAGAGTCACTCCTGATTTTAACAGAGAGSAGGTTTATAGTCCCCTTGGTGGCACCCTGCCTTCTGAGCAGGGCGAGGAGTCCACAGCAGCTCTGCTAATCACACACTAGGAGCTGCAAGTGGGCCCCRAGGATGTAGCTGCTCCATTAGGTATTCTGTGACAAGGTCTGCTCCTTGCAAGGCAAATGGGTGCAGCAGTGCCCCAAGTTTCACTGGTATTTTTGAGCACCTCAGAGTGCCAGCGCAGGACAAGAATTGACTCTCCTACAAAATGCAGTGTTCACTGCACTGGGACAGCCAGTATGACATGGGCTAGCTGGACAGAGCTCCAACCTCTTGCCGACGTTGCTCCTTTCTGAGCTGAGCAATCTCCCGATTCCTCTTAGTCTCCGCCAGCCGCCTCCGCTGCTGTTCCTCCCGCATCTGCTTCATCAGGGCAACCTGGAACAGAAGGGTGCTGTCTGCCAAGGCACAGGCACCCAGCGGCGYGGCCGGCAGAAAGCCTTCCCGTGCTCGCTACCAAGCAAGAGAACATTCCTCTTGCTCTATCAGGTACAAAATATTTCTCCCTTGAGCAGCGTGGGGAGCTGCACCTACCCACTTGGCTGTGCCAGTCTCAGCTTCGTTACTGCACTGGAAGACACCTCCCAGGCCTGGGCACATGGGATGCCCTCCCCATCCCTGCACATAGCAGCCACCCGTCTGGGTACCTTTGCCTTCTTCATCTCGGCCACCTCTGTCTGCAGCTTCCTCAGTTCTCGCTCATAGCGGGACTGGTTCTTCAGCAGCCGAGCGTGCTCCTTCTGGGCTGCCTGGAGCTTCTGCAGGTCCCGGTTCATCTCCTTCAGTCGTTTCTCATAGTCTGCCTTGATCTTGTTGGCTTTCTCCTCTGTGTAGCACTCCATGGTGCCTGGGGAAGTGTGGAAAGGGGTTGATTTGACCCACACACCCTGGGCTCCTTCTCCAATAACACATCCTGCCCAGGGAGGCAGGACACTGTGCYCTCCTCGTCTTGCCAGATCTTTCTTTATTCCCTCTGCTCTGACCTGGGGTCTGTCTGGAGGCACCATTCAGGACAGCAATTTATGCTACAATTGCAAGGGGCCATAGAAGAAGCCATAGAAGTGGTTCTACAGCCATGTGAACCCTGCCTATGTGATCCATTATCTACTGAGCCTCAAGATCTCTTAGACTGTTGGGTCTTTTGTGTAAACTTGTGTCCCTCAGTTTCTCCAAGCATCTAACAGGACCCCATATCCCAGGACGCAGTGTCCAAGGATAGAAAAGGCACTACCTCTCCTTCCCCTCCAGCCACCTCTAGGGCCACGTGAGCTTTCCAGGGGACTAGTCCTGCTCCCACATGACTGTGTGGAGGGATGGGCGCTTTGGCTTAGAGCTGGGGAAGCTAGGCAGAAAGGGGGGATTAGGAATGGAATCCAATGAGGAGAAATAGTTCTCACTGAGGTTTTGCAGGACACGGTCCCGCTCCAGCTGTGTGTCCCGGATCTTGTTCTGCAGTAGGATCAGTTTTTCCTCATATTGATGCTTGAGGGTCTGCAAACGCCGCTGGCTGTTCTCCAGCTCATCGATCAGCTTCTGTTTGATCTCTATCTCACATGTCAGATCCGCCAGGTCAGCTTGAAAATTCACAGCTGGAGGCCAGGAGGGATAGTCAGGCAGGRAGGAACTGAGGACAGGATCACTCCCACAGCCCCACTGAATTATAGTGCAAGGAGGGGACAAAAGGAGCTGAAGAGAAAGGGTTGCAGTGCACACTGCTGAGGAGGAGCAGCATCCCAMACACCCTCTGTAGCAACACCTGGACGAGACGTGGTCCAGGGTCCCACCAGACTCCCCCTTCTTTAGTGCCAGGACACCACAACTAATATAGCCCCAGATACCAAGATGCTCGTGCCGCTCTGAACTTTACCCTTCTCCTCCGCATCTGAGTCCGAATCTACCAGGCTCTCTTCACTCCCCGAGTCCTCATCTTCATCCTCACGCCCATCCTCTTCCTCACAGCCGCTCTCATCTTGTTCCTCCTCCTCCTAAAAGGAGAATGCCTGGCCTCAGCTTGCAGCGTGACCTTGTCCTTCTCTCTGCTGGCCCTCTCCATCTCCAAACCCGTGCTCATCCCCATGGCAAGGGGCTGTGGCCTCACCAACAGGTCTCAGCCTCCTAGACAAGGTGCATGGGGGCTGCAACATGCTTTCTGGAGCCCCCAGTGTCCACAGCAGAGATGGGCAAATCTGTGCTTTGGATCTGCCCCATACCCCTGCTTCTCCCAGCTGAGCAGCACTGCATCCTCCCACCTCCTTTCACTGACACAGGATAAAACAGGACCTAAAGAGACATTGGCTCCTTGCTGCACAATGGCTGTGGAGCACCTCCGTCTTCCTTACTCTTGCTCCTGTTCTTACGGAGTCCCTGGTATCTCCACCACCCACTCGAAGTTCATCACAGGGCCAYGCTAGCCCTCGATCCTCACCTCTTCAGCCTCGTTCTCATCGGTCTCCTCCCCATTGTCCTGCTGCAGCTTTGGACACTTTTTGAATGCTTCCTTCTCAGGGCTGGTGGAGAGGAACAGGAGGGCTGGAGTGAGTCTCTGCAAGAGGGAGCCTGGGAAGGGTCCCAAAGAGCCACCACTGCTCCCCTCCCACATCCTCTGTTTGGCTTTTTTGGACCCATYTGGGAAAGCAACCTCCAGACATGTACGATGACTGAAAAAGAGATCAAGGGGTGATGGGGAAGGCCATGCAGGACCCTGGGTTCCCTGTCTGTRGTCACTGGCAAGAATGGGGAGAAGAGGGCAGGACAGCTGGTCCTGCAAGGTCAGATAGGATATGCCACCTCCCGCCACATCCTACAGGAGCTGACCTCTTCCTCCGTTGCCTTCTCTCTTTCTTTTTGAGACGCTCCAGGTCTTGCTTGGCCCGCCGGAGGACATCAGAGGCCTCCGTCTCCAATGCAGCAGCAGGACTGCTCAGGCCAGCTAAGCCAGGTGCTGGGGATGAGCCCATGGAGTAGGGGGGTCTGGCAGAGACGCGCGAGAGGCTGCGACGGAGCGATTCATTCATGGACTCACTCTCCAGGAGTTTGGTCCTATGGAGGAGAGACAGGCTGTGGTCAAAGCGCAGGACACCCTTATTGGAAGGGAAAGACCTGTCTGGCTTTTAAGAAGGCAAAAGTCAGCCAGAGAGGCACTACCCAACCATCCCCACTCATCTTGGGCCAAAAGACCAGGACATTGCAAACAGGGAGCACCTGAGGGAAATGTGAAACAAGCAGAGGTACCCAGAGTCAGCAGTCTCTAGGAAACATCAAGAGCCTTGCCAGCTCTTCTCCTCTTCTACTGATGGCCACACAATGTGTAACACAGACCAAAGCAGTGCCCAACACTGAAGGTGGGATTCACAGCTCAGGAAATACCAGTGGCCTCAGCAGCTACTTCACTGAGGTTACACCTTCCTTAACCTTATTCTTAAACCTTCCTAAGGAACTGAATTCTGAATAATCCTTCTGAGCCATGACCAGCTCATGACATTGGCAAGGAGAGGAGCACCACCTGGGCTCAGACCCAGCCCTTGTGGGTACCAAATGCTGTGTCCAGCATGCCAGGGTATCCAGGTGACAAGTGTTAAACCCAGCAGACCACGTTGCCTCTCAATCAGCACTGAGCAGAAGGGGAGAAAAGCAGAACCTGGCTCACCTCAACTCTTCAATCTCTCGAATGTAGTTCTGGATGAGGGCACCAATGGCTTCGTTGCCGTCGCCTGGGGGAGGCAGAAGCTCAGGTCAGTCAAGGCAAGACACAGGACCTAACACAGACACCATGGATCTACATGTGGGTCAACCCTCTGCACTGCATGTGCACAATCTCACCTGCTTTAGCCAGCATCAAGTTAGCCTCCTGGCTCATGAGATGCGTGACTCTGCTATTGATGGCATCAATGGCCTCCTGCATGGCTTTCACTCGCATGCGCAGTGTGTTGTTCTCCTTCTGGAGCATGGCATTCTCATGGAAAAGGTCACTGTAGCCTTCTGAGCCATCCTCCCCGATGACCCGCTTGCCCTTTGGGGAGAGGAGAGGAGCCTTTGAGCACAGGATATGCTAGAACACAAGGGCTCACCAATAGCATTCCTGGGGTCAGACAGGTCCTGATCCCTAAAGTAGGGTCAGGGAGAATGTAGGAATGTCAAGAAATCCTGAGCAAAAACACCCAAAAGAAAATGGCATAGATGGAGGGTTGCGGATGTTTAAAGGCTTCTTCCTGCCTCAACATCCCAAAGATTTGACCGAGGTCCTACGTGTGATGAGGCAAGAATTACACTCCCACCCCCAGTGTATGAAGCACATGCACTAACCACTATGCCAGCCTTCACAAGGGCCTGCAGTGGGAAGATAAGTGACTTAGCACAAGCAGTTCACCAACCAAGGGCTAGCTTTTATGAAGAACAAAGCAGCAAGAGCTGGGCAGATGTACAAGGGTAAAAGAAACCTTGAAGTGATCTCTCTCTCTCTCTCTCTCTCTCTCAAAAAAAAAAGAACTCAGAAAAAAAAAAGATTTCCATCATCATTAACAGCAAAATGTGCCATTTTTGGTCTCTTAGTATTTTGCTATAGCTGATTTTCTCGACACCATGTTGCCATTGAAATACGGCCATCTCTGGAGCAGTGTTGAACTGTCTGGGGCCACAGAACTTGCTCATGGAGAAGGGGGGCTACGTAATGGGGCCATATAAGAGCTGCTTATTCATAGTGTGAGAGAGTGGTGGACAGGACAGTCCTGCCTTCTAAAATGGCCCCATGTTCAAACATGTTCAAACATGAGGAGTATTCTCTCTGCTTCTGGATCAATCCCACCTCTACAGTTGCCTTCCCATAGGGCTCTGTTTRCGCGGCCACTCACCGCCTTGTACTCCATCAGCTCCATTTGGAGTCGAGCAATCTCCGCCCGCAGGGCGCTGATTTGCTGGCTTGTCTTGTCTTGGTTTACCACCACTTTGTTCTTGATGTTGCGAGCCCGGTTTGCATACTTGAGTGTGTTCAGGGTCTCCATGAAGTCCCGATCGGATGGGCTCACACAGGCGATCATGATGGTTTGGCTTGGGGAGATGAAGGTCACAGTGAGATGACAGTTTCCCCCACTCTATGCCAACCTGGCAGATGAATCYTCAGGTTCAGTCATGTTCAGTGATGGGCTTCCCCCAGGACCCAACAAAGACCACTTATATCCACTCAACCTAGGCCCTTCTTTACTTCTTAACCAAGATATAAACCAGGTTTAATCCCTCCCTGAGCCAGAGGCAGAACTCATATCTACCACTCCACTACCACAGCATTAAGCATTATGAAGAAAAATCCACTATCCAAAAACTGCCTTGCACATGTAAAGCTTTAGAGAAAAGAACGGGTTCTTCAAACAAGTACACCCAAAGCAGGCAGGAAATGAAAGCTGTCCCATGCTGGGCAATGCCACGTGCTAATTCTCATATCAGCAAAGTCTCTTGCAATTTTGCCAAAGTTGGCTAGTTGTATCTGGATTTGGGAGCAGGCAACGTATTTAAATCTGCAAAGTCAAGCATTGCTTGCGAGGAGGCACCCCGACAACCTCAGGTGTCTGCATCCTGATAGAGATCCCACACAGAGCTCCCACATAGAACCTCAACCCCTTAGACATGAGGACAGCTCCCCACAGATGTCTCACTGGACCACTATGGTCCAAGCCGGTCCCAGCATCCCTTACCTGTTGCCCCCAAGGGAATCCTGCAGCAGACGAGTGAGCTTGGAATCACGGTAGGGAATGTGCACAACTTTCTTGCTCTGGTCTCCGAGGGCACTGATGACATTCCCCAAGGCCAGCTGTCAATGCAAAGGAAAGCATCCCCTTAAATTCAGCCTCTGCTGGGAATATAGAATCAGGAAGATAGCTAGGAATATAGCTGTCGCATTTCCAGCATTTCAGTCCTGGGGTGAATGCAGTGTCACAGATTTGGGGTGCAAGAGCTACAGGAACATGGCTTCCTATGCCAATTCCAGTAATCATCTTTCTTCCTCAGGCTGTGTCTCACATACCCATGTGCATGAGGGCACTGAGGAACAGCAAGGAACCCTGAAGTTRTTTTTAAGCTCAAGTTATCATATCTCTGCCTATTGAAGACTGGTGCCCTTGTTCATCTGTACTCCTTCCTCACAGTTCAGTTAYTGCCACACTCTGCCCTTGGCAGAAGAGCTGTGCCCTCCTCACTGGCCTTTTGGATCACGGATAAGGCATGGCATGGTAGCATAAAYCATGACAGACGTTGAGCAGCACAGAGCATCTCCGAGAGGGACCCCAAAGCGTGCCAGGCTCTTGCAGCAAGGTCCTGCCTCCCCTGCCCTCCACAGGCTAACCTCCCCAGCACCATACCAGCCCACAGTTGATGGAGATGCCTTCCTTTGCTCGCTCTCCTGTYGCACCCGTTCGCTTCAGCCTCTCCGAGCCGGCCAGGTCGACAAAGTGAAACTTGGCTGTGAGGGTCTCRTACTCAGTGGTGGGCTGGGCTCCGTCTGGGAGGCCGGTCACCTCCCCATTCACCTGCACASAAGCATATGCAGACAAGCACACACAAGGATTGCCAACTACAGGAAACTACCGTAGCCATAGACATCAAGAACTGTTGTGTTTCCACTTGGCATCCACCCCTTTGAAGATCAGGGAAAAGGATCCGAAAAGCAGTTTAYATCCCTTGGACCAGACCACCCCTGCCTGGAATGGGGCTGCTCTGGGGCAGACCTTTAATCTCATGAAATGCTAATGTTTGCYTTAGCTGGAAGGAAACAATACACAGCCCACACTCTCCAGCTTTAWGACTCCAAACTCTCTTGCCTTTCCAGAGAAGCCTCTGCACATTGCCTGGGTATCAGAGTTGGGGACAGCCCAACCAAGAGACAAGTTCTGCCAGCCCTCCCTGCATCTCACCATCTCCGGATGGGTGCACACTCTCATCTGGCACAGATGGATGGTGAAGATGGCATGGGATCGGGAGCTCTGTACATTCATTTGGGTACTGGCGGTGGTGCGGGAAAGAGCCCCTTGCTTCAGGCACTGGATCAGCTGCAACAACACCATGGAGGAAGAAACAAAACCTTTAAGTTCCCCTGTAGYTGGCCAGGACACTCTTTGCAGCTCTGTAGCACAAAGCTGCTGAAGATCTGCCCCATGCATCACTTCATGTAACTATGCAGGATGAGGTACCTCCATCCTCACCCTATCGCCTCTGAGTGGTGTGTCCCCCACGTGTGGGAGCTGTCTGAATGTCCTCTTTTGTACCCACCTCATCCTGTGAGCTGATGAGGCGTGACGTGACTCCTGTGGTATAGATGCTCCCACTGGCGTCCTCATGGATTTTGATGTTGGATTTGCGGTGGCGAGCATCAGGGTCACGGGTGCTGTCAAACAGGTCCAGAATCTCTTCATTGTACAGCTGAGAGGGATGAAAACATTCATGGGATGAGTAACAGTGACCAGGAGGCTGGCAGAGCCCAGCATGCAGGAGTTGCCATCTGCCCTCCACTGCTGAGGTCCTGAGAGTTGGGAGGAGAGCTAGTTTGTGCTCTTCCATGAGTCTGTGTTATTGCATATGTGCATGCGTGTACGTGCCTATRTGCACTTGTGCGTGCAGGCAAGGACAGCCAGGAGTGCCAGTGTGAAGATGTGTGCAAGGGTAGGAGAATGTGTCTTGTGACGTGTTTGTGTGTGTACTTATGTATAGCAGATATTGCACAGGCAAGCTTGTGTGTATATCCACATAATGCCAAAATCCAYCTAGTGAAATACTACAGCCTGTAGCAGTCACCTCAACCTTGCAGATGATTCTGGCCCAGAACTTGGTCATCCAGGCTCTTTGAGCAGGTTGATGCTGTCAGATCTCACCCTACATGGTCATGCTCACTGTCTCTGGCCCTGCAGATCCTGTTTTTGCACTGTTCATAGAGAGAGGGCAAGGTCTCCCCATGCAACCTGCACACCTAGGGATGTCACTGGTCACTGAATCAGCAKATCCTCTTCTTCACAGGTTCCTCTGCATTGCAGGGCAGAGGGAAAACAGGGGCAAACCTAAGGACCCAGAGCTGTTATCTGTGCCCTGTCTCCATGCCAGGATGGAGAGACAACTCAGTGTTCCTTCACCCCACGATCACTCAATGYAGCACATGTGCTGTCACCCATATCCTGACTCAGACAGGGAGGTCACCTGAGGACTACAGATTCCTGGCCAGTGCAGCAAATCTACATCCTAAGCAGGGCTAATCTACACCCTACTGCCCCAGGTTCAAAAGAATTCTTGGAGCATTTAAACCTCYCTCTAACAAGTCTGCTCCTAGGAGTTACAGGGCAAGGATCAATAGAGCCAAATCCTGTTCCCTTGCTGGGATGGCAGATTCAGTAACAAGCCTCTTACCCAGCCCCGTGCACACACATGGCCACAAAATCCTCCCCGGATGCCTGGCCAAGGGTGTATTAGGGGCAGGTATTCAAGCAAAGGCACGAGGTCTGTCCTGGTTTAATATCTTCCCTGCAGGCTGGGTGGTCTGGTGGGCAGAGTCCTCAGCAGGCAAGTACGGCCTTTCTCATCGGCCTTTCAGGCAATGGGTTTTCACCCTCCCCAGGCATAATAGGGCCTCTGGGAAGCCTTCAAGACTCCCAGCTGGCAGACAGCATGGCTCTGCATGCTCCYATCTACACTGGAGATCACAGAATCACAGAATGTTCAAGGTTGGAAGGGACCTCTAGAGATCATCTAGTCCAACCTTCCCGCTCGAGCAGGGACATCCAGAGCACGGGGCACTGGGTGGCGTCCAGGTGGGTTTGGAAGACCTCCAGAGAAGGAGACTCCACGACCCCCCTGGGCAGCCTGTTCCACTGCTCTGTCACCCTCACAGTRAAGWWGTTCCTCCTCAYMTGGAGACGGAACTTCCTGTGTTTCAACTTATACCCATTGCCCTTTGTCCTATCACTGGCCACCAATGAGAAGAGCTTGGCCCCTTCCTCCCTACATTTGCCTTTCATGAACTYATACATGTTAATCAGATCCCCTCTCAGCCTTCTCTTCTCCAAGCTGAACAGGCCCAACTCAGTCTCTCCTCATACGAGAGGTGCTCCAGTCCCTTCATCATCTTATTTGCTCTCCACTGGACCCTCTCTAGGAGCTCCACGTCCCTCTTATACTGGGGAGCCCAGAACTGCACGCAGTGCTCCAGATGCGGCCTCACCAGAGCAATGAGATGATGGCCCTTAGGGCTGTCTGGCCTCAGCTAAGCATGGATGCAAATGGCTTTGAAATACAGTAAAGGAATTTGGAGGAAACCTTGCGCCCATCTGCCACCGCACACCCTTGGGGCCAGCAACACTGCAGCTCCTCTCCCTCCTGGAACCTAAAGATCTCCAAGGCTATTTCAAGAACCAAAAATACCAGGGATAGAGGGGTGACAAAGACAGAAAATACACTGCCCTGTGGCAGCCAGAGCTGACCAAAGCAAAGCCACTGATCCATCATTCACTGCCCTTCTCTATGTCTGTTTGGGATTGTGTTGGACCTGGTTGTGCTCTACAGGCCTGCCTTCAAGGATGGCTGGTGACACAGGCCAGTAAAGGAGTCACCAACAGCAATCCTCTCCAAGGCTTTTCCTGCACCCTTCCAAGTTGCAAAGCCTTGGCCCTAGCTAAGAGGTTGCCCAGCACCCTGTGGCAGTGTGGGGTCATCCTGGTGAGCAAGCAGGAAAAATAGAAATGAGGCAACAGAAATGACTGGACACCAGAGAAGATTTCCTAAAGAGCAGACCTGGCTGGCTGACAGGGGGAAAGGAGGGGAAAGGATGTCACATCAGGGGACAGGCAGAAGGGGCTGAGGACAACAACATCCACCCTACAGCACAAGGAAGACTGGTCTTTACTCCAAACAGGGGGAGTAAGGGAGCCCATGACCTCCCACCCCTCCCCAGGAATCTAGACATGAGCAAGGGGGAAAGTTTTTCTCCTCAGGGAGAATATATTCACTCAGGAAAGCTATTTTTCCACAGCCAAGACAGTGCCACCACAAGGGACCTTGTGTGTGGTTAACACAAGGTCACCAATGCTCTGGTGCTTCCAGTCTTCTCTGCCCTAGCTCATCTGGGGAGCAGCTGGGACATGCAGAACTCCAGTAGACCAGGACAGACGCTGTGCAAAGGACATTCCCCACCAACACTGTCCCTCCTGGCACCCACCTCCAGGAACTGGGCACTGACTTTGAACTCAGGTGCTGCTGTGCCCTGGCTCTGCGCAGCCCGCTTGCGCTCCTCGATGCCGCTGAAGAGATGGCCGATGGCCCGGGGAATGATGCCCTGCTCATCCTCGGAGATATTCATATCAAAGCCAGTGCCCATGGTGTACGTTTTCCCTGCACCAGTCTGCAAAGAGGGAATGAGAAAGAAGCCAGCTCAGCCCATAGCGCCCCACAGCTCCCCACGCCAACCCTTGGCTTCCCAAACATCTCTGCTGGACTCTTCTGATCCCCTTTCCCCCCTACCCTACCGGTACCCAAGCCATAAACCAGCTGGACCTCCCCTTCTCCTACCCATGGTCACCCTCCAACCTGGCTTGCCCGTGAACCAGAAGCAATTCTCTGTCCCCCTACGTAGCCAAGGACATCCCCACTGTCCCCTACCCTTCACAGGTCTCGCACTCAGCAGAGAGTTGCCACTCTAGGCTCAGGAGAGCCCAGGGTCCATCCCAGGTTCCCAAGAAGGGGCAAAGCAGGTACCTGGCCATACGCCAGCACTGTGGCATTGTAGCCCTCGAAGCAGCCTTCAATGAGCTTGCCCACGCACGTTGTGTAGATCTGCTCCTGCCACGTGTCCAGGTCAAAGACAAAGTCATAGGTAAAGGCCTTGTCTTTCCCTAGAAGCACTTGAGGTTCTCCAGGCGTTACAGAGGTGCAGATGTGGCATCCCTCAATCTTCTCTTTGGACAGCTGGGGACGGATCCTGAAGGAGCAGAGACGGGGTGAGAAGTGCCTCACGACTTACCTGAGTGCCTGGTCCCAGGGAATCTGCGGCAATTCTTCACAGAAACTTGGCTGTTGCAGGGAGGGGGTTCGTAGCATTGCTGYGTGCACTTTGAAGCAAACAGCACGTGATGCACAGAGCACGTTCTCCTGGAGCTCTGCCCCCTGCCTGGGGCTGCTTGCCCCAGTGACGATGCTTATCTGCTTGTGCATGAGAAACAGGCTTGGTGGGTGGCAGCAGTGCCACCARCCACCGCCACAAACCACAGCAGAGCCAAGGCCAGGCAGTCCCAGGGCACCACCAACACAAAACCAGGCAGCCCGCACCTGAAGTCTTTGCCCTGCACTAAACGCTGAATACGGCTCAGCAGAGCCGGCTTCCCCACGCTCGGATCAGCTCACTTGCTGCAATGGCCCTGGCTTGGCAGCGAGCTCCAGGCTGCATGTGGACAGGGATGAATTGAACGAGGCAGCCCTGATGGGGACGACTGGAGCACAGGGACAGGCACGGGGACAGGGACAGGGACAGGAGGCGTTTCTAGGGCAAGCCACCCACCCTGCCCGCAACGCGGCAACTCTCACCCAAGAGGCAGCAAGCTTAAGCTTGCAGTTATAAAGGCCCCAAAAGCAAAACCATAGATAGTCCTATCATCAAAATGACCACCTAAAATAAGCCACTATCCATTCTGGTGGCCTACTGAAATCAAGGAGTCTGCAGATGAAATTGGGACAACAAAGCTGCACTTGGCTCCTGGCTTGCTTTGGGGGCAACGACTCCCTGCTGCATTCTTGCCCTCCACCCGCCAGCACCTCCAGCTGCACCAGAGCAGACCGAAAGAGCTGTGAGGCTGACCTCAGAAACGCAGCTCTGCCGGGCAATGCAGAGCAGCTTCTGCTGCAGCTGTAAGAGCTTTGGGTTTCAGGGGCTCGTGTTGGCAGCAGCAAGCTGGTGAGTCCCAAGGGACTTGGGGGAAAAGAAGGAACACAAAGCCAAACACGCTGGCAAATGCCCTCTCATTAGAGCTAATGACTGCACATCTCCTTTCCCTAGATGCTTCATAAATACATCAATTAATTCCTCCTAAACCACATAACGAGCAGGACGGGACGCAGATCTCAGCAGACGCTTTGTGGATCAGGGCTCSGCTTTCATTCACACAACGTACCAGGCCTCACCAAGCTATCTGGCAACAACCACAACACCCTAAAGACCAAAAGCATCCACATTTTGGCTGGGGGCAGGTCATCCCTGCACAGCCTGCAAGGGGCTTGTGGATCCCATGGGAGGACAAGGCCGATGGGAGGAAGCGCGAGCATCCTGTGTCCCGCAAGCAGGAGGCTTTGCTAGCAGATGTGTGGGAACAGCTCTTCGCTATATATGCACGAGGGTATATTTAGCTCAGCAGCCACAATAGAAAGCAGTTTCTGATGTGCTCAGCACGAGACTTGCCCCCAGGGTCCCACCCTCCTCCAGGAAAATTAACCCAACAAGTCCTAATGACTTTTTGACCATTACGACGCACTCGCCTACTTTATCCCTCTGCACACACAGTGACATCGTCCCCAGGGAAGGGAGAGGGGAACAAACTGAATGCAGGATATTTTTGGAAAGTTTCTCTCTCAGGAAAAATGGGAGTAGAGTTTTCAGCAAAAGATGCCTCTCCTAGTCACTAGTGATTAAATATGTGCATGCATGTGAGCTTGGAAGCCAGGACGAGCCAGACAGTAGATGCACGTATATGTATGTGCATCCATGCATTTTCCATAGCGTGGAAACCACGCTGGGCCTGGCCACACTGTGCTGAGCTTTTCCAGCTGTCCACATGTCAATGCCATCAGCAGACATCTCCCCGACTTTGACTCTTGTAATCAGCTGTCCAAATGCATTGGCCAGCTCCACGCACCCACAGAGACCTCATCCATCACCCCAAATCCCTGCACATGTGGGACTCAGAGGGCCAGAGAGGACTTGGGCATCAGCCCAGCTCTCAAAGCAACTGCCCTTGAGCTGTCCTGTCTCCCCACAGCAATTGAAGACCCCAGTGCTCACTCCTCTGATGGAGCTCCCTGCATGGAAAACTTGGGAGCCCAGGCTGTGGTGTGGGTTCCGTTTTCCAGGCAACTGGCCAAGCGTCACCCACTCCAGCTGACAGCAGCTGCCACCCAGGCTGTGAATACTGGGGCTTCCCAGCTGTGAGAGCAGGACGAAACGGAGTAGGAGGGCCAGAATGAGAGCACTGTGTGCCAGCAACCCCTGGCAGATACCRTGGGCAGCGACAACAAGGCATGGCCCCTCATTGCATGGTGCAGAGATGTCTATGGGAACTGGCTGTCACCAGCCACCCGGCCACCCAGCACTGCAGGAGATTTACGTGGCCACCAAGAGACACTGCATCGGATTTCTCTTTGTTAGTATAACTGATCCTCCTGCTCCTGAGTGTTAAATAGGCCCAGCTCACCACCACTGGGAGAACTGGCTACCATCCATGCTCTTCCAGGAGGAACATCTCCATTCYAGGCAGTGGACCACACAAGCCCTGGCTGGGCCAGACTTAACTGGCAGAGAAAAATGCCACCAGGATCAATTCAAGACTGCAAAGATCTCACGCAACTCATCCTGAAACAGGGTCCAACACCTCAAACCATGGCAGTTCCAGCATGTCTACATTAGCACCTTGCCCTCATCTGCAGTCTGTGGTGGCAGAAGCAGTATTTGTAGTATATACACAGCAGAAGTGTATTGGTGGGTGAAGTCATGAACAGGCWGCACAAAACCTCTTCCAAATATACCCGAAGGACCTGGAGACCTAGCACAGGTTCTCCCCTCAATCCTGTCATCAGCCCCATCAGGTAACGTTCTGCCTCAGTTTCCCCATTCTTTAGCAGAGATGAGCAGTTTTGCTAGCAGAGTGAGGAAATCAAAGTCTGGATTGGTTCTGGCCTATCTTGATTAGTTCTGGCCCTTCTTATCACTACCTCTATCTAAAAGGAAGCTGGCCCTATCCTACCTGTCCATGAGCCCTGGGAGAACTGAGGGTGATGCTGGCATGGGCTCAATCTTAAGGGTGATGGAGTCAGCACCTCTGGGCAATGCCTACTTTTAGGCCTGGCATGAGTGCATCCAGAGCTGCTCTTGTTTGCTAGGGTGCTCCCTAATGTAAGTGTGTGCCTTCCATGCACTCCTTTCAACCACAATCCCATGGGATGGCCATGACTCTTCTGCCTATGGTCACGGGTGCCAACTTGTGCCTACGATCAAGGCCCGTGACAGAGCCAAACGAGCCATGGTCTGCTCACCCACAGCCCCGATTCCTATGTTGATTTGGCAATTAGAGGCTTATCCTCTAAGAAGCACTCAGAATAAACCAGAGTTTAACCAGTAGGGAGCTCCTCATTGTTCCCCAGCTCAGGAGGGGYTAGATTAAAGTCCAGGCTCCACAGGGCAGGTTGAGCCCAGCAGCCCCCGCCCTGGCACAGACTGAGGTTTCTTCTGCTTGAAGTTTGCTCTGGTATGATAGAGGTTGCCCCAAGGCCCAGCCMGGAAGAGCAATCCCAGGCCTATCCCACCCATCCCAAACCGATAAACCTGCCCTGGGCAAGGCAAGGCATGCTCAGAAAGCAGGCAAAGGACACTCAGCAGATCCGCAGAGGCACCAAGAGCCTTGCCACAGCAGGAGGAAGGTGGCAAAGAGGTAGAATGAGATCACTGGCCACCCATCCATCCGCTCATCCATCCACTGGCATACACATCCACACCTTTAGTCTGCTCCCTGCAAATGGACGGTGATGAGAAGTGACCACCAAGCAGCAGCTCTGGCGGGGGCAGTGACCGATGCCGCTGCCTGCYCCGTTCAGTGCCCAAATCCGACAGCAGGAGAGGCGATGCATGCCAGGGGGAGCCCGGATCCGGTCTCCGCTAGAGTCGGATTCAAGAGAACAAGGGACACAGAGCAGTTTGTAAAGACACAGAGGCAGCRCACAGGGGACCTCGGCAAGGAGCCGCGCTCTCTCTCGCCCTTTCCTTTCTTGTCTTGCTGGCAGGCTCTGGAAGTGCCTGTCCACAGAGCCACGCTGCCATGGCAATGCAGCAGCAGGAAGGAAGAGGGGAAGGGGGGAAGAGGGGAGAGGGGGCTGCACCCCAAAGCGCAGCCAGCACTGCGGATGCGCGCGCAGGCGCGCTCTCCAGCGAGCTCCGTGCGCACAGAGGCTGCATTGTTCAGCTCGGCTGCCATAAGCCAACATTTAGCCAGGAGCAGGGCAGCCAGGCCAGGCTGGGAGCCCAGCCTTTGGTGGGCACCTTGGTGGGCAGCTCGCTCTCATGGGGAGACTTCCAAACGTTGTCTAGATGCTGCCTCCGCACGCGGCAGGAGCAGCCCCGCTGAGGGGCTCATGCACCCTGGCACCCCAGGGTGCCCTGCTCCCTGAAGAGGGGACGGGGGTGCACAAGGCACATGAACTGTCCTGCTCTCAGTGCTGCACCTCGGGCACACACTGGGTGCAAAGCAGACGCTACCTAATGCCGCTCAGTCCCCAAAGACAGACACAAGGGAGGATATCACCTATCCTGAGAAGGCATGACACATGAAAGAACTGCTGGGCCCATGTGCCAGTGCCCGTCTGCCTCTCCAGCCTGACTGCCTCAGTTTCCCCACTTCTAGCCCATTGCTAAGGCAATATCAGGGGGCTGCGGAGCATCTTGCCCCCAGCACTTTGCCAAAGCTGTCGCAGCACATATTGCACCCAATGCACCTACAAGAGCCATTGTAATGGCCCTGTCCAGTGCCTGGTATGTGAGCACAGAGTTCCTCCCACAGCCCTGCACGTGCCATGCTCTCCACAAGCTGCACTGCCCTTCTTCAGCACGGCCACTTCTGAAGCAGACTGGCTGCTCCACTGGGTACGGAGCAACAGCAACAGGAGAGAAAGGGCACAGGGGAAGAAGGGATCTAACCTCCCTTAGAGCCATCACCCAACCCTCCG